AATTCCCATTACTAGCAGGATAACTGAAATTCTTCAGCAATCCCATATTTGCAGCAATTTATTCTAAATCATGTTACTCAAGGGAGAAGTGTGCACAAGACTTTAGAATAATTATTATCTTGCTGGAAATGTGCAAAATTTAATTCCAAAATGGTTCTTAAAATGAAATCCTCAATGAAATATATAGTGTTGACATCCTGGACCATTATAGTTATTATTTTTCAGAACATTCTGAGTCTTTAATCTTGAGGGAATTATTTGGCATATCTCTTCTCTGATGTCCCTGTTCAAGTAGCCAAGAATCTCGCTCTGTTTGATATATAGTGAGTCTTTAAATCTTGTCTTGGATAGGGTTCCAACATTCTAGACTGGTGAATATCAGGAGACAATGGGGATCAATGTAATTGCGATTTCCATCAAAACCCTGTGGGTTTCAATGCAAATTAGTGGTCGAAGCAGTTCTTGGCTCCTGATGTTGGGGAATGCACATGACCTTTCCTCCCTGTGATTTTCTCATCAGTAGAAACTTTAGTAAATAGGAGAATTTGCTTTTACTACACCAACTTAGGAATCTCTTTACATTATAAATGATGTGTGTTTGTGTGCATTTAAGTGTGAGTGAATGTGGGGACAGGACCTTTTCCGTAGTGGCCCCACAGTTGTGGAACAAACTCCCAGCCCTGAGAGATACAATCAGCCCCCTCCTTGCTGTCATTTAAGCATGCTCTAAAAACATATTTATTCATGACTGCTTTTAGTGACATTGTGTAAGGGGGTAGGGGGCTCTATTTTTGTTGAGATGTCAGACATGGATTAGAATAAATGAAATGTTGTTTGATCTTTGATATGGGTTTGGGTTGTTTTTATTTGTTTTAAGATACCATGGGAAGATGACATATTTTAAATGTTGGCATGTTAAATAAAACTAAATAAGAGGATTCAGGGCCTTTTTTTCTAGAAAAAGATGCTGGAACTTGTTGACCTTTTTTTAGGGGGAACACCCACCCCAAGTTGTTGAGTGAGTTCCAGCTGAAAAAAAATCGTGATTGGATTTTGGATTCTTATTCACATGCCAATCTCCCAGCAGTGAGAAGCTTCAGAGGTGCCACCACATACCTTGAATTGGTTTTCTCATAATGAAGATAGCAGAAGATGGTGGTGTCTTTGAGATATGTGACTTTAAAGGTAAAGGTAAAGGTACCCCTGCCCGTATGGGCCAGTCTTGACAGACTCTAGGGTTGTGCACTCATCTCACTCTAGAGGCCGGGAGCCAGCGCTGTCCGCAGACACCTCCGGGTCACGTGGCCAGCGTGACAAGCTGCATCTGCCAAGCCAGCGCAGCACACAGAACGCTGTTTACCTTCCCGCTATAAAGCGGTCCCTATTTATCTACTTGCACTTAAGGGTGCTTTTGAACTGCTAGGTGGGCAGGAGCTGGGACCGAACGACGGGAACTCACCCTGCCGCGGGGATTCGAACCGCCGACCATGCGATCGGCAAGTCCTAGGCGCTGACTTTATTTACACATAAAAACAGGCTGAGCATAAAATGGAAGAGCTCACAGTATCAACACGCCAACAGCTCTTCATCCCATACTAGATTTCTAGGAGAGCACCCAAAGCATAGATTTGGACACAGCACAGAGAGCAGGTCAAGCTGCTGTGCCTTCTGGTTCCAAACAAGACTGGTCTAAGTTTATTGTTCTCTTACATTTACTGATGCCATCGCCTCCAGCCAAACAAAGAGGAGCCTGCCCCTTTTAGCTACTTCTGAAAGTATCTCCATCTCGTAGTTCCGTGGAAACCAATCACCAATCTATTCATTCAAAAGGATAACTTAACAGAGTTAGCTAGAGTCATCAACTTAACAAAGGGACTAGTCTGACCACTTTAGCAGCCTCATTTTCTGTAGAAGCTTCTGTAGAATCTTATATAAAACCACAGGCTTGGACCAACCCCACCATCCTATGACAATATGCATGCTTTGGCCTTGCCAGTTCCTGGTATGCGTACTCTCACTGCTTTCCCGCAAAGGAAGCAGACCACCAGGGAAAAAATATTCCCCACCTATGCTTCAGAATGTTTTGACAATCATCTCTGAATGGTACCACATGGTATAACCTCAGTTTTATTTACCCATCTTGCTCAACTCCTTAATATATATTGCCAAGGATGCAGCTTATTCGTCCACTCCTGACTTTCTTTATTTAACATATTGGCCTGGATTTGAGAATGTTCCCTTGCCATATAAATTAGCTTCCATTGAGTTATTAATGTGTTTTTCTGTGTATCTATCTCACATGATCATATACTATATTTTTAGCAGGATCCCAGGCTCAGGAAGCTTTCAGGATCATCCAAGCTTAACAAAAGAGGCAGCTGTTCACTATTTATTTTTATTGTCTTTGTTCGATGTATGTCCACATACCCCTTACATTACATACCATCCATCCTCTGTAGTTAATCAGGCAGGGATCTTCAGTAACTATAATTCATTCATCCTGACTGTGTTGTGCTGCTTCTTTCATCAGACACATGTGAGCGCAAAATTAGATCCTGCACTGGACTGTCACCTAAACTTTATTGTTTTTAAACTTCAGTCAGTCCTCCATTTTACCAACATAATGTTTATGTGGAATAATTATTTAGCCTAGAAGCACAGAAGACAACTAGCACTAGCACTGCATGTTGTTCAGACTCAGTTCCCGGACTGCCAAGTCTCTTCTCTTTCACAGACTTATGCAGATTCCTTTATGAGATCACCTCCAGGCAAGAATGGGAACAGTAGAGAAAGACATGTCCCAGGGGCAGACTTTGGTCTTTCACATTTCAACTGTGGCCCAAGCAAGGCCAAAATTTGGTACACACCCCCAACTTTTCACCTTCCCTTCTGCTGAATCCACTACGTCAGAGATTCCTGAAAAGGTTACCTGAAGTTATCATCCCAAATCATATCACAGGTCAGACAAATGGCTACAACCTTGAAAGATTTTGATACGATACTATAATCTTTATTGTCATTGTCCCATACAGAACAACAAAATTGAAAAAAATCTACACCAGACATTCAAAAACCCACAAGCCTGCTATCCCAGCTATCCCAGACCGGTCAGCCCCTAAAAACTCTGATACCCCATAATTGAATACAATATATCCACATAAAGACTACCTTACACTGCTTTTAAAACCAAAATCACATTTGAATAGAAACTGTTTCTCAGGTGGCTAGTCCTAGTCTTTATAACCCTGTACCTTCTTCCAGAAGGCAGAAGCTGAAAGAGATAATTTCCAGGGTGCGCACTATCCTGCACTATCTCTGCAGATTTCCTATGGCACCTGGAATGAATGGAATTACCGTAATCAAATAGAGAAGAGAGGAAAGAAATGCTTTCTCCACCCTGTTTTATTTACTGTCCTTTGTTCTTTACAACTCATACAGGCTGTGTGCATACCATACATTTAAAGCACCTCCCTCCCTGAATCCTGGGATCTGTAGTTTGCTTCTCATAGAACTACACTCTCAGCACCCTTAACCAACTTGAGAGGAAAAATGTGGCTGAAATATATGGTGTGTACTCAGCCACAGTGGTGATACAGTGCTAGGGACGTGGATGGCGCTGTGGTCTAAACCACTGAGTCTCTTGGGCTTGCCACTCAAAAGGTCAGCAGTTCGAATCCCCATGATGGGATGAGTTCCCGTTGCTCTGTCCCAGCTCCAGCCAACCTAGCAGTTCGAAAGCATGCCAATGCAAGTAGATACATAAGTACTCCTGCGGCGGGAAGGCAAATGGCATTTCCATGCATTCTGGTTTGCATCACAGTGTTCCATTGCACCAGAAGCGGTTTAGTCATGCTGGCCACATGACCTGGAAAGCTGTCTGTGGGCAAACGCCAGCTCCCTTGGCCTGAAAAGGAGATGAGCACCACAACCCCATAGTTGCCTTTGACTGGACTTAACTGTCCAGGGGTCCTTTAACTTTACCTTTTAGTGAAATTTGTTCATCCAAAGATTTGGCCTTCAGACTATGAAAACAAGGGGGGTAGGATTATCATATTAATTCTAACAGGCCTTGAATTATATCTACTTTCTAACTCGGGACTCTAATAAAGTATAAGCAATCACTGTTGCCATTTTGGAAAGAATAATAACTATAGTGAAAGCCTATATTAAGCTGCTTCGTTTAAGTACCGGTATATGATGTATGCATTATAGACAACGTAGATGAGATGTGTATACACATTCCAGAGCCTTCAATACTTACTCATGCAATGATTTATCACTTACCATGTGCTATAATGTTGCATAAGATATAGAACATAGGTTGGGTTTTTTTGGTGGGGAGGCAATAAAAATGTTGTCAGCACATGCTAAATGTATACAATTTTCAATTTTAGTTTTTCTGGGAATTGGGATAAAAAGCCAGTATAGTTATTCTATTACATGCAATCTCAGAAGGAGTAGATTAGCAACACAATCCAGTTTATAGCACCATTTGACATGAAACTCTCGCTAGCTGGCCACAAGAATTTAAAGACATTCAAGACAAAGATTTTGGGGAGATTAAAGAGATTTTGGACTACCATGAACACATTAGGACAAATTCCACCCTAACCATGTTATTCTGGGCAAGAGACTACCGCTTGGCTTCTTTGTGTCATGTGTAAAATGGGAACACTGACCGAACTCATAGAGCTGTTGTGAAGAAAATGAGTAAAAAATTGCCCCAACACACTTTGGGCATTAAATGTGCCAAGTTTATGTCTGCTATTAAATATCTAAAAGCCTTTGGTTGGAATTCAGTGTAGCACTATTACAAATGTTTTGGCTGCACAAGTATATCAGTTTGCCAGACAGAACAATCCCCCTTAGCCTCCCCAATGAATTTTGGGTAGCGCAAGGGGAGGAGAGTAGAGAAAGCCCCATTGTGCTAGTGCAAGCCCTTGCATAGGGCTTCCACTGATGGAGTTCATTAGATGAATCCCATCTTTTATGACTATCATAACTGGATAGCTCAGTTTGTTAGCGCATGGTGCTGATAACACCAAGGTTGCAGGTTCGATCCCAGCTGCAGATTCCTGCAGTGGATTGGACTACATGATCCTCAAGGTCCCTTCCAACTCTACGATTCTATGTTCATTAACTCCACATGTATGACCAGTTTCTTTCTTTACGTCAGATAAAACAGTAAAAACAGTAAAACAAGTAAAATAACAAGTAAAAACAGTAAATGTCAGTGATAACAACAAACGTATGTGCAAATGATATTTCATCATGCTTGCTGTAGTGAAGTCTTTCGTACTAATTCGGTAAATTGTTAGGAAGGCAAGGGATAGTCACACAAAAAACCAAACTGCTAACTAAACAAACATAAGAATGTTTGCAGTTCAGCTTCTGTTAGAGAAGGGGAAATCAAATAGGAAAATAAATATGGCCTTATCACTGCTAGTCTTTGGTTTATGAAGTGGATGATGTCTGTGGATCACTGCTAGTCGTCGTCATCATCATCAAAAACATACTGAAGACATATTTATATAAGACTTTGTTTGGCTAAATTGTTGCGACTGAATTTTCATATATTTCAGAATCTTGTAAGCTACCTTATGAAGGCAGTGTGCCCTGAAAAGTGGGTTTGAAGTCTTTTAAATAAATAATAAGAGATGGAGCCAATTTTACTATGAATCCACCATACCTCCAAATACCAGCTTCTGGAGTAAAACAGTGGGAGAGGGCTATTGCCCTCACGTCCTACCTGAGGGCTTCCCATATGCAACTGGTTGGTTGCTGGGAGAAACAGGTTGCTGGACTAGATAGGTTTTTGGTATAATCCAGTTCTTCTTATGACCACTCATGAGTATTGGCTGGTTCAGCAAAATATACTCCTGAACTATGGACAATACCGGTAATCTGTAGAACAGCTTGGTCCCTGAAAATGCTGAATTGGGCTGTCCTGGAACATTCCACTATTCTGATGTAACAGCAGATATATTCTGAACCTAAATTAATTTTTACTTCTTGGATGCCCAGGAGCAGCTCTGAGTTCTAGCACATGATGCTCTTAAAAGTCGTAAATTACAGACTAGAGATGAAGTGTGTTAAAGTGTACTTAGGCATTGCAGAAAGTGATTCATAAACCAACATGAAATGCTTTTAATGAGAAAGGGATTACAATGTGGTCCAGATTTACAAAGCAGGGCATTAGATTGCAGCGTATAACATGGTTACGGATTACTCAAGGCACAATTCACTGAGCTTAACTTCTGCACAAACTTTCATTCACTTCGTCATTAATTACACTGTAATAAACTATTTTAACACCTGCACTTGACATCTGTGCAACCAATATTGTTGTTGGATTTTTTTACTTCATGGGCACATTAGACTCTGGGGAGGCTCGTACAGAGGATCATTTTGTGAGAAACGAAAGCATAACTGAACCCATTTGATTATACAAGAAGGGAGACAGATCCTAGGCTGCACTGCTGTTGCATGGAACTAAGCACAATTTGAGGGGTTGCTTGTTTAGATAGCCTTTTAGATAGCTCCACCATCACCAACAATATTGCTGTGTATAATGTGATTGTGTGATTAGCACAGGCACCATTTGGATAGTGACTAAGGTGTCATTCATGACACGATACACCATCCCCACTACAAGTCCTTGTGATTCTAAACTATCATTCACAGCTACTTCTACAGGAATCTTCCTTTGACTGTGGGGGCATATGCCTTGATTTCTCTTATCTTATTTTCTTCTTCTTTTTTTAAGGGTGGGAGGACTTTTCATGGCATCAATAACCTGCACATAACCCATTACTGTTGGCCTTAATTTTCTTTTCATGGATTCCAGTCTTCAAGAGGCTGCTAATCCTTCATTATGTTACCCAGGGAATTGCATCTACAAAGCTCATCTGTTGACTGAGCCTTATGAAGTCAATGCAGCTATACACTTGTCTAGAGCCTGAGGGTTTTGCTGGACTGGGATGCATGTGAATTGACCAGCATTTCCCCCCCCCCAATACCAGTGGCACATTTTACAGTCAACTGAGTGCCAAACAGTTTTGAGAGGCAATTGGCATTTGTAGTTGTGGTCTGGCAGAATCGCAACCAGCCAATAGGGTGTGTTTTCTATTGGACTAGCTTGCCAGGAAAGAGAAAATTGAATATTTAGAAAGGGTTCCAAAACCAATTTCATACAAGGAGAATTCTGCAAGCTTAAAATAGTAACAATGATCGTGCTGGTCAGTGAACTTAAGCTTCGGTCTCAATCAGTGCCAACCAAGCCTAGGCTCACTGGGTGGTCTTGGGCAGACCACTTCTTCTCAGCCACAAGAGCACATGAATGTGTTATCACTTGACTCTGAGTGATTCTCACTCTTGGTTCAGTTTCTATACCAAACTTGTAGCTGCTCAACAAGATTTAAGTGAGGAGAAAACAACGACCACAACCAATTAATAATACTGGATAATTCCATACTCAGTTTATTGTGATCTAGTGCACTGCTCATTCATGAAAGGTTTTGTTTTGTTTTATTTTGTTTTCTACAGCATCCACGTACCTTCCTCAACAAAATGCCATCCTATCCTCCATCCCCCAATTTAATCTGAATTTACCTTTTGTGGATTTTTTTTGTTTTTCACTTATGGGATTTTCTGCAAAAACTGACTCTGAATTAAATGGGGAAATATGGGTTGACAGTTTGGATGAGGATGACATGGTGTGGTAAGCACACAACGCCCGTATGCAAGAGCAGCACACTAGTCCACAATAAACTGCTGTGTAGAAGCACCGATGGCTTTAAAATTTTAGAAAGCCTCAACCATCTGCTGTAAAATTTGGAAATTGTCTCTTGTGTCTTCATCCACACTGCTGGATTCAGGAGTGCAAACTTGAATAAAATATGGGGGGGGGGCAGGTAAGTCCCGCCCTGCATAATTGATCACATGACGTGGTGCGCGCACACCATTTCAATCCCAATGTCCACCAAGTTTGCGGAGGGACTCCTAAAATATGTTATTGGTGGGATGAAGGGACCTTGTTGGCAACAAACCACATAAAAGGCAAAGATGGGAGCCTGAAGGCAGGCTGAGCCCTCCATAGTACAGTACCCCCATTGCAATGAAGATACACACAATTCCTTGGAACTTTTATTTCTCCTTGAGTTAGTTAGGTATAAACAGAAGGAGTACAACAGATTCACACTACCTCAACCATCCATTGATTGGGAATATAGGGAACTGCCATATACTTGGTCCATCTGGCTCAACATGGTCTACTCTGACTGGCAGCCACTCTTCAGGGCTTCAGACAAGGGACTCTCCCAGCTATATCTGGAGATGCTGGAGATGGAACTTGGAATATTCTGCATGCAAAGAAATGATCTACCACCAAGCTACAATCCTTCCATGTAGATTCCCTAGTCTGTATAGAAATTGTAAAAAATAAATGAGCTAAACTGTAAACATAATAAATTAAGTAAAAGATCAATTCTCAGACACAAGTTGTCATTCATGTGTAGATGCAATGATGATGACAGTGATGATGCCAAATTTCAGAATGGGAGGAGGGTCAAAAACAGCCTCATCCTAGTAATGACGTATTGAGCTGATTTATGCTCTAAATTGGGCCAATTCTGTGCTCTTTCCCCTTTCCCCCTAAAGGTGCCATCCAGCAGCAGCTAGAAGGGAGGCAACAAAGAAAGCTGCTTCTCAGGCACTCTCACCCACATGCAAAACTCCTGGGTACCTGGGGATTGTGGATGAGCCAGAAGCCTTGGCCAAGTAAAACATGCAGTGAACTTTGCACAGGGGACATCCTGCTAGTGAGGCTTTAGGGCCAAGATCCAAGAAGCAGCCCTCTCCTTTGCACACAACCCTGACTGCAACTGGAAGGTAGGCTTTCAGGAAAAGGAAGGAGCAGAGGGGCTCACAACAAGGTGGGGGAGGCCCCCCCCCCGGTTTCATCAAGGAAAGAGGAGTGGTAGGGGACATTCTTGCTGTTGGTTTCCCTCCCTTGGATTCTTCATGACTGGGGCCTTGCTGAACTTTCAAATAATTTTCTGAAACAGCTCAGAAAGGAAGAGATTGGGCCTTGTTTTGCTCATCTCTGTGGCAGGCCCCTTTACCTTCATTTAATTGCCTCTCTTTTGTACCATGCCTATTTGACTGTGAAGGGACGCAGGTGGCGCTGTGGGTTGAACCACAGAGCCTAGGACTTGCTGATCAGAAGGTCGGCAGTTCAAATCCCCATGACGGGGTGAGCTCCCGTTGCTCGGTCCCTGCTCCTGCCAACCTAGCAGTTCGAAAGCATGTCGAAGTGCAAGTAGATAAATAGGTACCACTCCAGTGGGAAGGTAAATGGCATTTCCGTGCGCTGCTCTGGTTCGCCAGAAGCGGCTTAGTCATGCTGGCCACATGATCCGGAAGCTGTATGCCAGCTCCCTCAGCCAATAAAGCAAGATGAGCGCCGCAGCCCACCCCAGAGTCATCTGTGACTGGACCTAATGGTCAGGGGTCCCTTTACCTTTACCTATTTGACTGTGATATGTATAATGCTTACAGAGGTTAGTATGAAGATGGTGGCTTTGTAGAATAAAATTAAGAAATAAATATTTGGGCCTGGATATGAAAATCAGCTTGCTATGTCAGATAGAGGAAACCCCTTTGCTTACACACCAAAATAAATAAACTCCGTTGTATCAAACAAAAAGGAGGCATTAAGGGTTTCGTCAACTTATCAATTATATCATTAAAATCAGTCAGTTGCAGTTTAGCATTTTCTGTGCAGAGAACACTTAGGTCAGGCAACCAATCTTGGGACATTGTTGACCATGGATCATCCTTTATCCTTTATAGTGCAGAAAATTATCTTTTACCAGTACAGTTTGTAACCATTAAACACAGGCACAATTTGAAAATTGTTTACACATTTGGAAAAGCTGTCTGAATTTTCTCCTGGAATATTATTTGATCAGCGGCGTAGCTGGCCGCTTGGGTACCCAGGGTTGTTCTTCAGTCTGCTTAGACTGTTCGGGGTAGTCTGCTTGATTTTCTTCTGTTTGGAAACAAATGTTCTGTACAGTATCTGGGGGATTCTGTAGGGCTGCTTCTGCCTGCTGTACAAAGCCATATGACATCAAAATTAAATATTTTAGTGATTCACAGTCATATAAAAAGAATCCTCACTTGTTCTCAAAATGCACACTGTAATGATACACAGTGATCTGAACACTTATATTGCTTCACAGCTGACTTTACCATTTGATTCGTACTAAGTGGTAAGTAAGCATTTGCATAACTGTTATACAGTCATAGACTCATGCGCCACATGTTTAATGTTACTAAGCAACTGGGCCTAGATAGTAAAAGCTGACTTTAAAAAAAAATGGCAAGAGGCCAAGGTCATCCTAGGACCTAGATGGGTGCCCTAGGCTGTAGCCCACTCATCCTGTATGTATATCTGGCACTACTTGGGCCCCACATACCTGAAGGATGAAGCTGGGTGTTCACTGGTACTGTGCTTTGTAGCACATGCTGTCATTCTGTAAGCAAAGTTTATTTGAAAAGGAGGGGAGGGTCAGGAGGTACAGTGCCTTGCACAAAAGGCCAAACCACCCCCTAACCAGACCCCTAGTCCATGGACTGGGCGAAAGGCAGGGAGTCCAACAGTAGGTGGCACCAGAGACAATGACAGGTGGCACCTATTCCTTCTAGTTTTGAACCCACCCTTCTCCCTCTTGAGTTTTACAAGGGCAACACTGAGAAGGAAGAAGCTGACAGTTCCTGGGCTGGCTGCAAGAATGAAGGCAGGCAGGTGGGAGCTGGCTGCGAGCATACTAATGTTGGTGGAGCACTGCTGCATTCACCCTGATGGACCAGTTTCCACTGCCCTGGTGTGCCCCCCTCTTACTCCTGCCAGAACTGCTGTTGTTCTCCACTCCCCCCCCCCCGTTTCACTCTGTGCTACAGTTCCCAAGAGCCACTGCAAAACCACCCCACCCTCATGCAGGCCAGTTTAGAACTCTTGGGGGTAGGGATTTCCCAACAATGTTCACAATTGGTTGCTAAATTATAATTCAATATGATGAGAGTTCAGCCATTACTACGCAGATGCCGGCATCGGAAATGTGTTGCACTCATAGCTTTTTATGGAGGCTTCTGTGAATGGCTTTTGTGAGTAGCAAAAACAGATTTGCATCACCTGTTTATTGCAGACATGTTCCATTTAGGCTGATTGAGAAATAATTCCTTTAAGTGGTCATGCAAAGCAGGCTTGGCTAGCTGGGGAACCCTAGCACATGTGCAGTCAATCAGAGCTCCTTGCAGCTTAATAATTGCTACTGCTATTTGCTTTGCTCTCTGTATGGTAATGAGTTTCAAAACACATTTTTTTAAAAAGTCTGAACAAGTTTCAGCAAGCACTTAGACCATCCTTTTCTTGCAAAAGAAAAAAAAAAGCATTGTAGTGGCAAACAGATGTTAGTTTGTTGATGCGATTATCCGCAGATCACTTTTCTACAGTTATTGTCCACTTTTCTACAGTTTGTTTAGACAGAGGAGTGGGGGAGAGAGAAAGGTTGAGCATAGCAAAGGTCTTTGTGCTCTGCAAAGATTTGGTTATTTAGCCTCTGTGATTCTGAGCGACACTAAAACTTCACTAGAAATGTTACAACATTCTCTTACAGAAGACCCTTCCATGCAGCAATTAATGTGAAACCTACATGTGGATTATGACATGCCACAATCATCTCACATGTGGGATCTCATACTGCTTTCCAGCACAAATGCATGGCCCAGCCTTCTTCAGATGTACCATTTGAAATGCTAGCGGTAGTAGGAGGATACCTACATGTTCAGAGGCTTTTCACTCACGTGTGTACCCTACAGTTTTTTTCCAGGTGGCCAGTTAGGTAGAGCTAGATAATTTTAGGCTCTGAATTTAATCACCTTTCAAGGCCTCCCTCTTTAGATGGTAATGTGTATGACTTTACTTCCTTCAAAGTGGGAACCCTGTTTTGTTAGGGGCTTTCCTGCTCATTCTGCTGAGCCGGGTTGTGGACCCAAAGTCTCCTCTTGGTGGCACCACTGCTGACGGTCCTATCTACATCTTCCCTAATAATTCCATGGTTTCAATGAAGCGGTTCCCATGAGCCAGAGATAGCAAAATACAGAATTCTACTGAGCGCTGCTGACCCCTTGCCACCATCAGCTTAGTTGCAACCTAAGAAAGTACGTCCCAGATGAACTTTGAGAAACTGGAGTAATCCTTGAGAAATGGATTCCAATGACTGACCTTTTTGTGATGTGTGTGGGAATTGTTATTTTTGTGTCTGTATGGTTTGTGTACATAATACTGTTGCCATATGATATCATATCCTCACTTATCATTGCATCTATCAAATCTCTGCATAAATCCCCCCTCTGTTTTTAAATTATCTATTGGTTAGATCATTTTGGAATGGCTAAATATGTGTGTGTTGAACATTCTCTCCCAACTTCCCTCTTTGGCTCCCCCTCCCTCTTTCACCCACCCCCAGGAATTTTCTTGGAAGTAAGCCCCACTTCTTGTAATGGAGTGTGCACACCTCAGTGGTTTAGCCTTGAGGTGTTACCTATTGTGCAACAGGCTGTTTTATCATACACTGTATCTTCACAAAGATCTTCTTTCGTTTGCATATCCTATTGAACATCTAACCATCTGTGCTGGCTTTAAGATCAATGCCCCACCCCACCCTGCATTCTATAGGAAAAACCTGTCGTTAAAACTTGACCAATTAAATCTCTACAGAACATATTTTTCCTTTCAGGTCTGTTGTCCGCTGTTCTTGCCTGATGTGAAGCCAATATTTCACGTTAATGGTTGTGAGATCATTCTCATTGCTCTCCATGGAAAAGGCTGGTGATTCCCCCCCCCCCCCATTTTATTTTGGATGCTTTATTTTAGTCTGGCTAGGGCTGAGAAAGGGGTGAAAATGAACTCCTTGCCATGGTACAAGCAATAATGACCTCTGTAAGAATTTCAGATCTGTAATCTGACTACATTTTATGTAACGATCAGGGGGCAAATATAACTCCAAAGTCTTCCGCTGTTGAGTTAACTTAAGTTACTTGAAGGGGAGTGTAACAATGTGTATTTGGGCAACGACTGCTTCTCTTACCATTCCCAGAAATCACAGCATCAGCTCACAGTGGCTCTATGTCCCAGCCATTCGTTTCAAGTTATCTTTTATTTTAAAAGTTTACACACCCCAAAAAGGGGCCCGGAAAGAAATTAGAGTCAGACTTGAATATTTTTATTATCTTTATTAAAATATTTTATTTTCAATCTACTTTTTTCCAAAATGATTTTTAAAATGTGTTTCTAAAATTCTTAACCCACTGAATAAGTCCAACGCACAGTTTTAACGCACTGCATCTTTTCTCCCAATCCTTTCTAAAAGGATAATGATGTGCATCTTTGTAGCTAGAAAGGAGTTTTTGTAATCTTAGGCCAGGGATATCCGATATACACAAACTCACACAGGCTCACAATGTATACCACCCCTTCGCCCAACTGCAAAACTAACCATTTTGAACAAACTTGAAATCGCTCCACTCTCTCACACACAACCAAGAAACGCAGTCTGGAGCAGCTGACCAATGAGCCATTGATACCACAGATGGCCGCTCTAAGTTCGCCGTCGCAACGTCGCCTGCTTTCTATTGAGTCTGGTCAGCGAGGCAACCTGCGAAGGGATCGCGGGAGGCGGAGGGCGGTCCACTGCACTCCTGTTTTCCTGTCTGTGGAATGCAACAAGGGAGCAATGTTTCTCCTAGCTTTCAAGGACAGGGGAGTGGATTGAGGACGAGAACTTCCAGCTTGTACCCTGTGAAGCCGAAACATAGCATTCTCCCAGATCTTTACGCACACTTATGCGCAAGCAAATCCCAGCTGGAGCGTGGGGGCAGCCTGCCTATATTTCTCTCCCGCTCCCTTCCTCGGACGTAGGACATCCAGGTTGGTATCCAGTGAGACGGAAGCCTTTCTGTTTGGGGAGGACAGGAGCCCTTTCAAAAGGACGTTTGCTCCGGAGAGGATCCCATTGCGCTCCAAGGCTTGCTTAGACAGAAAGTACTAGGAGTCAGTTTTAAAACGGTCGGACGTTCTGTCCGAGGAACCTGGCATTTTATCCCGGCTGCGGTGCCAAATACCCTAAACCCCGTTTGTCACTTAAAGAGGTGTCGGTCGGTTGGTTTGCTTGTGTCATTACAAGCAAGGATTTCATCGGAGCCTGTTTTACGAGTGGCTTGTTTCAGGTGCCTTTGGGCAGAGGCGTCTTGCAGACAAGAAGAACCAGGCGCCCCGTCGAAAACCAGCCGCAGCGCAGCTTCAGAAACGTGGCTTCGCACAACAGAAAATCCTCCCGCAGCCCCACCGCCTGCTCGCCCCCAATGCTTAAGCTAAAAATGTCTCTGATTCCGTTTCGGAGTCGAGCCAACAAAACAGGTTGCCCTGTGTGACGTTAAATCAAACAACAACCCACGAACCTCCGAGTGCGTAAACTGTCACGAACAAGGCAGTCTGACACACGAGACCCAGTCCGCGCCGTCTATCTTCTCTCGGGTCCGCTGGTTTGGACTTCCCTCGAGTTCTTTTGGTGCCATGTGGGGCCACACAATTTAGGATACCTTTTCAGCTGGATGAAGGAATCCCGCAACCCTTGTGTTCAAATACCAGTTCAATGTCCTCTGATCTAAGCTAGCTCCCGTAGGCTCTCTGGCGTGCATAGGTGTGCAAGACTGGGTGTGTCCACGGGGGAGATAATCGTAGATAAGCTTAGGAGTTCAGACGTTAGGTGCCCGAAGGAATATGAGAAGGTAGGACTTTTATGCTCAAGAAGTTACGATGCTGCGCACACACTGAGCTTGATTCACATTCCAGCGGACAGGGTTAAGCTGATCTTAAGGTCCAACTCAGTCAATGGAACTAGAAGCGTCCAGTCCTAAGCGCACATGGACTCAAGTCCCGCGGGCAAATCCTCAAGCGCACAGCTTCTGTACCTTGACTGGAATGAATGTTTATGTAAGACAGGTTTGTTTTAAAAGCCACAACCGGAAGAGGAGAAAAAATGGGAAGGGATTCCCGATACAATTACTCCGGTGCAAAAGCTCTTTGGAGTCAGCAAAAGTGACTGCAAATCTTTAGCAAAGTCGTCGCAGCTTCGGCTGCGCTAGATCCTAAGTCCTCTTACTTGGAGGATTAGCTCCGACGGATTTACTTACTCTAGAGTCTAAGTAAACGTAACTCAGGGAGTGCCAGGCATTCAAAAAGGGTTACAAAAAAGGAGAATCGTAGCTACGGATCAAAACGGATTAGGCCTAAGGGAACTTTTTGTTCAGTTTTAAAATGTTCCCAACTTCCTTTTCACGCTTCCATGAAAGCTTTACTTTCCTTCTATATCTGTCAAATACTTCACCCCAAACAAACCTATTTCTGTCATTAAAAACTAACAGAATACGGAAACTTATTTTTGTGACCCATCTCATAGATGTCCGCTCTTCAGAATGTTACCTGGCGAATTTAGGATAGTGGGCATTAAGCCGATGAGCTAAATGGACGTGGGAAAACCTGAAGGTTTACTTCTACATAGCGGCATAAAACCTGCTTTTCAAACATATACTGCAACATTATTAAAAATCCACAATAATAAATAGGCTTTAAGGTTTAGATGCCAGACTGGCACCCTGGTTCTGCCCCACTCCACCCTTTTAAAACTTACTAAGAATTTCACTCAAAGAACTTCTTCCTAAAAGGGCTTAGGGAAGAAGTGTGAAGTTAAGGCAGAGACTGGGAACCGCCCGGCCCATTCCTTTTGGGTTGAATTTACTCCCAAAGGCACACAGCTAAGGACCCAGTTCTAAAGCCCTGAGCATGCCCTCTTGCACTCCAGAGACAGGAGCCGTTTTCTCATGAGTAACCCTATTCAAAAGAGAAGGAGCAGCTCAAGAGGCTGGGGAATTGTGGATTGCAACTTGGACCTGTTTGTACAACTGCAGATCCCTAACCAAGAAGCCGCCCTTCATTATTGGGCTCCCTCTTTTCAAAAATCCCAATATTGGAGATCTCTTGGGAAAGGAGACAAGGCTCCCAGTTCACCTGCGACCTCATTCTAGCTTGTTCAGAAGACCTTTTTGCGTTGGTCTAAACGTCACATTCGTATTAGGCCCAGCCAAACTCCGCGCACAGAAGGAGAAACGCCAAGTTCTATCTCAGCGCGTCACTTCTCGGGCGCGAGCGTGGGATTGCCGAGCGTTGCTGTTTGGGAAATGCACAGTTGGGTGAGGGAGGGAGGGAATCAGCAAAGGTTTGTGTGTGTGAGTGTGAGTCTCAATTCCGCATACTTATGTTCCTAGTCATAAGATGCCACTGCAAGCAAATTACGCTCTTGAAGCCCTTGAAAAAAGCATGATTTAAAACGAAATAAGTATTAATTAGTATCCTAAATGACACTTTAATGTGCTAATATTGAATCTGTGCTTTAGAAGCGGGGCTGACTTATTATTTGAATGTGTTCTGTCTCCTCGGTTAAATTCCTTCTGTCTGTCTCCTCTGTAATTCACGCTCCAGACTGCTGGAAATGGAGAGAGAGAGGGAGAGAGAGAGAGGGAGAGAGAGAGAGAGGCTGCAACGGAAAAATGAAAGCGGGAGGGAAAGGAGAAGGTGGGTGGAGAACCAAGCTCATCCAGGAAGGCCTAAAGCTCGTCAAAGCCCAGAAGAAGCTGCGATCCGCAAACCGCTTCAACAATTGGGAGTCAAGCCGAATTCGCTCCAGGCCTGGGTGACGCCACTGAGCCGACTCAAGGTGTCTCTTTCTGCCTCCCAGGTGGGAACTGAGGAGGAGAGCAACAAAAAATGAATAAACTACAAAACTCACCTTGGCCGGTCAATTTCTTGAATGGGGAAATAAACAAAAAGTATTGGAAACCGACCAGCGGAAAGAAGCCTGGCCGGCCTATCTGGTTGTGGATCAGTGGTGGCAGGAAGCGGCGCTGCCGGGAGCGCATCCGGGAGCGCAGGACTAAATGGGTGTCATTGGATTGTGGATAAACTTCTCCACACATGCATACACGAAATGTCCCGGATGTTTCTTCACTCCAGGGGTCGAAGTATTTCTCGTGCTTTCGTTTGCAGCAACGAAAGTATCCAACGAGTCACAACTGACTTCAAGCACGAGCTCTCCATTTTAGCATGAGCTTGACTTGCGGGCCCCTCGCAGGACCCCGTGGAAACCGACAGAGGCGTTTGCCACTGACTTCAAGCGGGACACATGCGTTGTGTGAAATCCTTGCCCGCGATAAATGGGTGCGCTACCTGGCCACCACTGGTCTAGAGGCTTCAGAGCACTTTGCAGTCCTGTGAACTCAGGAACTATTACAATAATCATATCTCTATCTCTGTCCACACCTACATACACATCCCTAATAACCGGCTATTACGCTTCATGCGTCTGGCGATGTGGCCTGTACTATAAGAACGCTGGCTAACCTTTAAGGTCCTACAAGACCCTTCGGGTTGTATCCAGCTAAACTTCGCTTGGAGCAGACCCACTGAAAATAATGCACCCAAGTTAGTCGTGCCCCTTAATTCCAATGGGTCTACTCTGAGTATGACTATAGTTGGAGTCCCACCTTTAGTTGACGTTGCGCAGAGAATTGTTGTAAGGCAGACCAAGAAGACACAGTAATATCTTTCCTCATACAGTATTACAGGAGAGAAAACGAGGAGGACAGTGAGTGAATGAATTTTAGCACGGCAAAGGCACTGGCAGAAGGAATACATTGTGTGAATTAGATAAATATAATACACATCAACATCTTGTGCACCATCTATTCGAGGACCTATGAAGTTTGAGGCTTCTGGGCAATCGATCAGGGCTTTCCCCCTATTCTTCTCTAAAGGAATCTGGAGAGAAACGGCCGATATTTAGGGCAGTAGATAACCCGCGGGTTAGCCCCCCCGGTATATAGACTCGAAGCCGAGGGGCAACGCGAAAAATGGCATGGATCCTTCGGAAAAACGGAAGTCTTCGACAATGGAAGCTGCGGTACTATCGTTCATCTGATGTGCGAGCCTTTACATTGACTTGGGGTTTGCGTTGATTCTAATCATTCTGGGTTTCACCACTGCTGGTACATCCCCCTCCCCCCCAACCAGGAGGACTAGAAACTTGTAAATACGGATTTAATCTGAAGTTTCCAAATTCTTAATCCACGCAATCTACGCTTTTAAAGGTTCGAGCCAGACTCTGCTAGAAACCACAAGAAAGTTCCCTAATGATTTTAATTATTATAGCGAATGCCCATTTTAAAGATGCTAAGAGACGGAGGTGGTGGAATAATCACAGCTTAGTGGTGGAGGTTATTGCAGCACCGAAGGTACTGTGCCATGATCCTTGGAATGGTCTTGCTTGGGAATTTCCATGGACGTTATCTGCCTTCTTCCTCGCGCTAGGAAGGACTAGCTTCTCGCGAGGCGGAGTTTGCCTGGGCCAGTTAGCCTGGCGAGGCTCCTGATCCTTGTCGGCGCGACGTGGTCCGCCGAAGGCAAAGCGAGAAGGGGCAGCTGGAGAGAGCGGTGGGATTTGGAGAGAGCAAGCGAAGAGGTCGCTGGATCGGGCTTAAGAGTTCCGCATCCGGACATCAGGCATGCATGAGGAAGTGGGGAGGGGGCTCCAGCGACGGGTCACAAGTCCAGCAGTTTGGAAAATTTTCGTGGAAGTCCCTGTCCAAACGGAGATCAAGGGAGCTCTTCCAGGGGGAACTGACTGGCGCACTGCCTGGGGCAACGTGTCCAGGTTGCTGTCGCGCGTAAGAGGCAGCGCAGGACTTCGCGAGCGATCTGGTCCCAGCCAGCGCGGAGCGGGTCAGCGCTTCATAGCCCTTAGTTTATTCTAGTCTAGTGGGTCTTGGGGTGTGTGTGTGAGAGAGGTTTATCGCCTCAAATCCCTAGGCTAGGAATCAGGCACGTCCCGAGTACAGTACAGATCAGGTGGAAAGGAAAAGTCGCTTCCTCTCCTTACCTCAGGGTTTTGCCAGATGCAAAGAATGGGTGTTTGATTCCCACATCCAAAGGAGAAAATTGGGAAGATGTTCGCCTGAAAATACAGACTTCAACGGAAGTGATTTGCAAACGAGGGGTCCAAAATCCATTTTCAAATGCACGCAAAGGTCCAAGAAAACGAGCGGGGTGGATTTTGTTGCTGCTGCAGCAGCAAACTGGTGTTTTAATAGAGCCCGGATAAAAACATTTCTGGAATGTAAGAAAAATGTGGAGAGGGGGCGGGGTGGAGCTATATTCCTCTAGTCTGATTTTTTAAAAAATAAAATTGTGGAGAAATCTATATATTCGGCACCTATAATTCGGAAATGCAATAGACAGCAGCACCAAATATGATTTTCGCTAACCAGCATTTTGGCAACTAGCACAGGAAAGATGCGACGTTTCGCTCTGTTTTTTGAGGGGTGCGTTTGCCATCCCAATTCCAAATATACTTTGATTTTTTTTTTGGAAATGAAAACGACAGAGAGTCTCGTGCAACCTCTATGGTGGCGTAAGTTTTCCTGACCCACTGCCCACTTTATCAGGTGCAAATTAGTCCCCATTCCATTGCAAATTAGTCACAAGTGCTCTTTAGGATGGGGTACTAAAGCGCATAATAAGATACAGTAGTTGAGCCAGGTGTGTGTGTCTTTAAAGACACTTCCCGTGTAAAAATAAGTTTATAATTTTCTTATGCGTATGATTTTTAAAAATAGCAGAATTATTATATCACGCCTTGGATATAATAACATCTCGAAAGTGTAAAACACCATGCATTTATAGCAGTGTTAATGATGAACGGGTAAATTACAAGAAACGTGTATGTGTGTGTAGAAAAAGATCTCTTCTTCTGCGATAGAAGATCTCTGTGTTCGAGTTTTCCAGACGTCATCCACTAGGCGGCGCTACATGCACATATATTATGTTAAGGGCTGTAAGAAGTATTGGTTAGAGAATACTTTTTTCAAAAACGTCTTTGCTGAACACTAGACTCTTAAAAATAAAACATTTGGTAATGAGCACACATTGTGGAAATAGCTTAAAGCCCAAGTTAATTTGCAAAAGCATCTGAATTAGGAAAGGCATAGAAATTATTTTTAAAATTATTCTTAATGTAATAATTTGTTTTATAAAAAAATGACATTTTCTCTGGCCTGTTAGAACTTGTTTATATTAATATTTAGGCCACGCTCTTTCAAAATAATGAGAACAAACAATTTCCATACAAAATTAGAGAGAGATGTTTCGTGGAAAGTTGCATCTATCCTTAACATGATTTGAACCACATTTTGCTTCTCTCTGAGTAAATGATACCATGAAAAAGAAGAAAGAGAGGGAGAGAACTCGAATTCGGAAAATAGTTTTAAACACATAAAATGTGCTGGGCAGAGTGCCGCCAAATTATGCTCGATGGCTGGAGCTCCAATCCGATTAAGGGTTTCAAAATTGCTAATTAAATCCTTAAAAGTTTCCGGCTTGGCTCGCTCGATTTTCTATTATCATTTAATTTCTGCTTCATATCAGTAATCTGATGCGATATGTAAAATAAGGCCGTTAATGCGAATTAATCAAGACCCTCACATCTTTTCTTTTCTTTTCAACCCTTCATCCTGCACATATATGCCCGAGATCTGGTATATATTTTGATACTGTTTGACTGGTGCTGTTGCTGCTGGATTAAGCAAGACCAAGAGGGTTCAGCCACGCCAGGGCTGCAACCCTGTACACACGCAATTACTTGGAGGTAAATTCCACTCTAACTGGAGGCGGCCTCTTCCAACGAAATGCGCTCTGAACAGGAATCCAACAGTTCATAAACAGAATAGGCAGGAAGATTTGTATCTGACAGAATTTGGTCCACTACAGCCAAAAGGAACAACGATTTCAGTCCAGTATTGGGATCCAGGAATACAACTCCAAAACATCCGGGAATGACCGCCGCCCCACCTACAGTTGTTTACTAGTCTGTTCCTCCTGTTTCTCTGCTTTTTGTTTTAATGTTCTTCATTCACAGTTGGGCTATAGGGGGATCAGTCTCTGGTGGTTCGCTCAGATGATTATATTTGGACATCACGAACCACTTTATGACTCACGGAGTTTCATGGGAACCCATCTGACGCGTAAACGCCATTACTCCGGTTTAAGCGCCCACTGAGTCATTACAGAGCCTGGGTCCTATCCTGCAGCCTGTACCAAAACTGGACCTCCGATAGTCCAAAATTAGCACAGGGCAGACCTTTCAATCTCTCTGCTGAGCAACCCAAACACGTCCCCAGATGGTCTGCAAGTCGGAAGAATCTCCCCCAGGCTGGCAAGTTGCTATCGCTTTCCCCCTGCTCTGCTCGCTGTTATTGGGAGAGTCGGTGTGTGGGATGTATCTCCCTTTCTAAACTGGTGTGTGTGCAATATATTCGGGGGTGGGCTGAAAAGGGATTTCCCTGTTCCAAATAGACCATCCATACTTTTAATTCTGACTCTGTTAGCATTAATTTTGAACATTAATTGCCCAGTTACCCAATTCTAATTCTCGACGCCGTGTGGTTCTTAGGGGATAGGAAGAGATTTGTGAATGTTAACTTGGATCTGAAAGAGAGAGGAGCAACTTGGGAAGTTTGCAGAGAGATGGGCAACTAGCAGATCGATTATCGCTCTCACGCACAAACCCCCCAATCCCGCGCATCTTCCCCCAGCAATCCCAGAGAGAAGGGCAGTACCAGGAGAAATAAGCCGTTACCCCCATCCTAAAGAGGCTCAATGAAAAATGGGGTGGGGACGCTCCATTCTGTTCAAGGAGGCAGGGGGATCCTTCTGGGGATCTGGACCCGAGAGGATCCCAGGCTTCTTGGATTCCTCTGTGCCTGTTGAGGTTTGGGAACAGAGTTAGGTGGGGAATTGCAATTCGCTTTGGCTGGAGGTCTCGCTCTCACCTCGGACAGCTAACCCACCTGCGCGCTGCGCAAAGCAGCTTGCGAGCCTCGGGAGGGGGCCGCCTGGCCTGACCCGCTGCCCACGAGCCTGGTGTCCGGCTTCCAGCCGCTCGCCTCTTTTATCCCGCCGGCCAGGCCCGACCTCGGCTCCCGTCTGATCTGCCTGCGCCAGCCGAGGAACGGCAGAAGGGCAAGGCCCGGGCCATCGCAATCGCTCCGGCTTATGGCGCTAAAGACGCTTTTAAAAGGGGGCTCGCAGCACGCCTAAATCTATTTGCGGAGATTTAGGAGCTGCCTTGTGCATTTAAGCCACGTAATTATCCCTCCAGTTCCCAGCCAACCAGAACCACCACCACCACCCCACCTCAGCCGCCACCCCGGCCCTGCTCAGCATTTTATTGTGGGCGCAATCCTGATCCATTCCAGTCAAGGGCGCCTGGGCCTGGGCAGCGTCTGAGCGACCTCGACGGCTCTGGGTTATTTCGTCAGGCTGGTCGAATTATTATTATTATTAGGCTAAAAAGAAGTGGACAACTGTGCGATGAGAAGAAAGATCACTGGGGTTGTGAGGCAAAGGTGGAAAGACTCAGATCTGGAGCTAAAAGGGATCTCATCTTGGAGGGGGTCCCAGAAGTCTCAGAAAAGACGGGGCGGTAGCCAGAAACGCCAACACTAGGGCAAAGGTTGGGCTTTGGGAAATAATTTCTAACCCCACAGGCAGCAGGGTCAAGTGAGCGCCCTATTTCCCCCTCGCCTTCTCTGGCTCAACTTCCCCCGCTCCTCGTTGTTGTCACAAATATGCCAACCCTCTCGCAAAAGATCCTCTTTCCTTTCTGGAATCCAGAGTTCAGATTCTGCATGGTAATTTTTTGCCGGTGCCTCCAGCAAAGGGCGCGCCAGGCACCGGCCTAGGAGAGAGATGTCGGGTTGCGATTATTAACTTCCACAGAGAAATGTCCTGGCAAGAGTTTCCTAAGGCGGCGAGGGACGCGTTTTCTAAAACCTAATTCTGCCCGAGAAAAACTCGCGCGGTGAAGCGGGATGGTGAGGGCACCGTCCGGCCGCCGCGTTGTCGGGAAACAGCGAGGGGAGATGGTGGGCTTCCCTCCCCACGTCCGAGTTCGGTCTCCGTTTTCCACTCGCCGTTGGTTTAAAAGCGGGAGGTGGGGTGAGCTGGATCGAGACTTCCTGCTCCGGATCTTGTTAGAGGACGCGATACCCCTTTTACATAGAATCCCGCGGCAAAGCCAGCTCAAAGAGGGTATCTATAAAGAGCCACGATTCGGGGACTTTTCAGCCGCGCGCCAGGCGACCTAGGAGGCTTTGGAAAGACCAAAGGCTTCCACTCAGACCGGCCATTCATTCACAACAGGGATCTCTCTATACCTGCGCAGAGAAGCAACTTTTAAGGAACTCGTTTGAAGGCATCTCTCGTGTTCAAAACAGGCAGGCTGAAATCTCCTGGCTGGAGCTATTTAAATAGTCAGATTTCTTTCTATGGGCAATGCTTGTTTTGGGAGGGTTCTGTTTTCTGTTTTTAAGCTGGTTGCCTTTCTTCCTTTAGCCCCGGGCTAGATTTTCCTCGCCACTACTATACGATCCCTTTTGAACGTTTCAGACAATAGCAGGACTAAGGTTCTAACTTGGCACCTGGGTCATCCGAAGTATATTTATCTGGCATTCCTGGCCCCGCCATCCCGTTGATGGCATTAAAACACACACACACACACATCCGGGTAAATCATGGTGAGATCTGGGGCCTGCCAATCTCTTTGCATTTGTAAATTCCCCTTATTTCAGCGAAACGCCCTTTCATACTAGTGCACTGAGGATCGCAGATGGGCGCCCTTACCCAAAGGATTTAAGAAACACACAATTCCCCACCCCCTTCCCAATAACCTACACCGAAATTAATGAGCTCATTCCCACTTCCGTGATGTCAGAATGTAACTATGGTGAAATACTTGCTGCGGCTCCCACCAAAGTCACTTGAGTTTCAGTCCAGACATACACGCAGGGATGACCTGAGTTGTGGATTGGGCTATATGACATTTTAACGTTGTCCAATTTTCTCTTGAGATTGCCTGTAACCCCAACACCCATCTCACACACACACTCCCCCCGCTTTGCTGGACTTTTAAAATTCACTTTCCATAACATTTGGGCGTGAAGGAAGGAGTCGAAATTGGTTGCTTTACGACGAGAGCTAATCCTTTAAAAGACAAGCGGGATTTTTTTTTAATTGAAAAAAAAACTTCAAATGGGTCGGTGGGTGAAGGCAAGGCAAGGCGGCTTTGAAAAGAGTTGTCCATTGTCTTTACGCTGCCCGTTTAGATTTTTTAAAAAACCAATTAAAGGCACAATAAATAAATGACTACTTTATAGTTTAGTAGCCAGAATGTTGTAATGTATTGCAGGATGATGATGATAACCCCAAAACATCAAACGCAGGGAATAAAGGCAGATTAAAGAAAACACACACACACACTCCTGTCTTCTTGGTTGCATACAGCTGCCAGCGTTCCTAATCTGTCCACACACTTCCACCCACATGGGCTGCAGAGAGAAATAGGTGGGATTTTTGCATAATTAATAGGGCCTAATAATAATTTTAGCCATATGCAAGCTCCATCTACGAGTTTATATTTATACCCAATTTATTTCTAGCTTGCGTGGCATCTGGTCGTAAGCATAAAAGCAACGCACTTTGTACTGTCTCAAGTATGTGTGCGTGCGTGTGCGTGTGTGTGTGTGTGAAAGAGAGAGAGAGAGAGAGAGAGAGAGAGAGAGATTGTACACAAAATAGGGGGAAAGTATATGAATTCACCCCCTGAGTTCTTAGTAACTCCAACTGAAGGAGAGAGTCTTCATCTAATTGCTCTAGTGACACAAAGTCTGGGTTTTTTGTTCTTGGTTTTTGTTGCTACCCGGACGATGTGATTCCTACAAGTTACAACGGAAAAGGCAGGATATATTTCGACTTATATTTAAATGAATGTGATAATCAGGGTTTTTTAAAATAAATTTTAAATTTTAAATTTTAAATTTTAAAAAAGTATTCCATCAAATAGCTTTTACTAATAATATTAAAGGGATGCTGGAGAAACCATGAAAGGGAAAACTTAAAAGCTTTTGGAAACAAGCTTTCCCCTCCCGATTTCCTTGTAGACTCCACTGTGCATCCTCTGCACCTTTCGAAATAAATCACACCGCAGCGTAATAGATTTAAAATACGCCAGATTTTTTTTAAATCATTAATTGAGAACGTGAAAAATACCTGCTGGTACTTCACTTTAGAAGAGTGTAATTGGTAAAAATAGGAGGTTGATGAATAGATAATAGATCCTTAACTACCAATAAACAGTAAGCAGCAGCCAGCAGTACTAGGATGTGATCATAATTATTCGACCGCAGCAGCCAATGGGAGCGGGAGGACTCGGCCCTAAAAATCGTCCCCAAACGCCGCGGTAATCTCGAAAATGCGGACAAGGCCGGATTCCCCGCCCGTCCCTCTGCCGGAGTCCCAGCTTTGTCTGCAACACCTACCCTCCTCCCTCGTCATCATGCTGCCCTGGAGATCAGCAGAAGGCGGCGAGCCACACCCCCGCTCCCCCCCACCCCCGCCAAAAAGGTGTTTGGGGTTTTGCGTTTGTCTGGGCGCAGAAAACTCCTGGAGGTTTCCTGGGCGAAAACAGCTCCAGTAAGTCGACGGCTTCCTGCTCTGTAGGGCGGTTCTGAGGAAAGGGGGAAGCGAGCCACCCCATGGCTGAAGATCAGCTCGGGGCACCCAAACAGAACCGACAGAGAGGGCGGACTCGAAAGGCGCTGGCAGAAGGAGAGGAGAGCAGGCGGTAGACATCTGCCACCACTTCCAGCACCGAGAGAAAATCCTCGCCACAATTCTTCAGTTGGGCTGTTTGGGGAAAGCCAGATTTCCTCGCCAGCTCCGGCGAGCGAGCTCGGTGTTGAACCCCAAGGAAGAGTCGTCGTCTTCTTCCTCTTCCTCCTCCTCCTCCGCTCCCTCCCCCCCCCCCGTCAAAGTTGTGAAACCTCCCACGCTCCTACCTGCATCCTGGAGGGATTTCGACTCCGCTCACACGGGTGGGACCTCTGGCAGGCTGCGTCTGCTACGTCTGCTGCGTCTCTCTCTCTCACTTCCCCCCTCTCTCTTCTTTCTCGTGACTTTCACCCCCCCTTTCCTTCCCGTTCTCGCCCGGCACAGAGCGGTGGAGTCCATTCCAGTCCGGGCCCGGATCCATCCCTCCAGGATCGCGCCGGCCACAAGTTCGCCTCTCCCCTCTGACGCACTTTAAAGAGTCTCCCCCTTCCACCTCCGGGCGAGTAATAGCGACCAATCATCAAGCCATTTACCAGGCTTCAGAGGAAGCTGTTTATGTGATCCTCGGCACTAATTAGGCTCATGAACTAACAAATCGTTTGCACCACTTTGGGCAAAGGGACCCGATCGCAAGCTCGCTCGCTCTCTCGCTCGCGCTCTCGCCTCGTTCTCGCTGGATTGCCGCTGGACCTCGCCGGGGCCGCCTTGGGCGCTGCACAAAAAAGGACAAGACGGAGGTGCGGGAGGGAAGGGAGGAGGAGGCGGAGGAGGAGAAGGGGGCAAAAAGAAGAAAGGCAGAACTTCGCCCAGCAACTTTTTCTCTTCCCCACTTCGCTTTCCCGTCGGGCGGATGAAGTGAGCGCAGAGCTTTGCAGGGCGCTCGCCTCTCCATGTGGCCGCACGGCTCTCTTGCTGCTGCCGCTGCCACCGCGGGCGGCTGCCCGGCTGCCAGACTCTGGATCTAGGCGGGCCCGGAGCCCCGATCGTCTCTGCCGGACCTCGACGCCTCCGAGGAGGAGCCGCGGGCGCAGCGGAGGGCGCGCCCGCCGCCCGGAGGCCCCGGTGCCGGGCGCTTGGCCGCCAGGATGTTTCAACCGGCGCCGAAGCGCTGCTTCACCATCGAGTCTCTGGTGGCCAAAGACAGCCCTGCGTTGCCCGCCTCCCGCGCCGAGGATCCCATCCGGCCGGCGGCGCTGAGCTATGCCAACGCAAGCCCCATGAACCCTTTCCTCAACGGCTTCCACTCGGGCGGCCGCGGCGTCTACTCCAACCCGGACTTGGTCTTCGCAGAGGCCGTCTCGCACCCGCCCAATCCGGCCGCCGTCCCGGTGCACCCGGTGCCTCCGCCTCACGCCCTGGCCGCGCATCCGCTGCCGGCCTCGCACTCCCCGCACCCGCTCTTTGCGTCGCAGCAAAGGGACCCCTCTACTTTCTACCCCTGGCTAATACACCGATATAGATATCTGGGCCATCGGTTCCAAGGTAAGGGCCGGACGGAGGGGGTTGCCTCCCTCTCCACCCCACCCCCCTCAGCTGCTGGATTTCCTATTGCACATATTGGAGGGAGGGGAAGGGGCCGGGAAGACCCGGAAAAGTGCAGAAATCTCTCCGACCAAGGCAGAGAAAACGGGAAAGGAAACGTCTCTTTTTCCAAAGGCCGTTTGTCTAGGCGACGCAACGAAAAGAGAGTTGAGGATGGGCGTGGAGGGGTGTCTGTGTGGGGCTGGGGGAGGGGGCAGAAATTCTGAACCTCTCTTAGTTCCGTTGCAAAGGCGACTATTTGCAGAGGAAGCGAATTCGAGTTTGTGCTCCTTTTTAGAATGTTGTTAACTTGAGCGATTGTCGCTGCAGAATAGGAAGGGTTGGGATCAAGGGGAAGACAGTGTAACCCTCCCTCAGTTTGGTCTAATGGATTCCCTCCGCAGTCTCCCTGATCCCCTTCAGGAGGATCGTTATGGAACGAGGGGCTTCAGGAATCAGTCGGTCTCAGCAGCCCTTTCCTTGAAACTTTTTTTAAAAACCAGATCTTCCCTAAAGAGTGAGTTCAAGAGGACAACCCCCCTCCAGTGAATTAGCAACCGAAGGTCTTGCGAGAAAAATAAGAGCTGAAAGGCAGGTAGAGAGACAGTGGGGGCAAAGGGGGTTGATAATACTAAAGGCAGGAGTGGGCGGGGCAGAAACGATTCTTTCTATGACTTTAAAATGATTTAAAGAAAAACCTCGCAGGTAAATTTATCCTTTTAACCTCCCAACCAAAGTCAATTTCAGCAGAGAAATGTGGAGTCAAGTCAAAGAGCTTTCTTTGAGAGGTTCCCAAGATAGCCCAAAACAAGGCTAAATTGCAGAGTTAATGATGGTTTAATTTTTTTAAAAGAAAAACGGGCTCCCCTTTTATTTCTTGGGAACAAAACCGATAGCCGTTCCAAGGCACTTCCGCAGCTGCCATCTCATTCACGCTCCAGTGAAACTTTACTGGGGAAGAACGCTCAGTTTGAAGTCAATGACTCCTAAATTCTCAGTGATTTTTGTTTTAAAAGGGATCGCGCTGGAATATTTCCCCAATATTTTTTTTTGCATCTCCCATAAGACCACCCCGACCATCTTCCAGAAAAAAAGAATAACGAAAACAAGGAAAGAGTTGGAAAAGGATTTCGTACAGAAACAACTTTCTTCCTTTCACTTTTCCATGGTTTACACGCGCAAACTAACAAGAGAGAGAGCACAAACGGGCAGGGCTAGAATATTGCTTTCGTGTGCCCCCCCCCCCCAATTCAGCAGAGAGAAAGAAAGAGAGAGAGCACAAGCCGTTTGTCTTCGGGAAGCCAAACGTTATAAAAACGAGTTTGAAGGGTGATAAGGAAGTGTGGCCCTCACTCAGTCAAAGGAGACCCTCCTACCTGCCTTTAACTGTGGGGTATTTGTCCTGCTAAGACCTGGAGCTTCTGGAGACCCAGAAACCGCGTTTGTTTGTATCCCACTAGTCTTATTAACTTCCTTGCTAAGTTCCCCCCCAAATCAATTAATTTTACAAAGTGCAATAAGGAGTAACCAAAGGGGTTGGGAATCCATGCAAACACCTCTTTTGAAATGGAATGGTTTCCAAGATAGGGGACGGAGAGGGGGGAGGGAAGGGAAGGGAGGGAGAGAGTCGATTAGGGCTATTAGTATTATCGTTATAACCTCTCGGTGGGAAATGAGGGGTTTCGTTCACCCAGTCATTTCCCCCGCTGTCGTGAGCAGCTTTCTGAAGGAGGCTCCATCGCAAAGGAGGGATTTGCCTGCCTTGTTATTGTGGCCCCGCGTCGGATGAAACGACCGAGGCGCAAAAATAGGTAGAGCGATTGTGGGGATGGCGGGTGTATCTGCAAAAAGCCTGGCGAGGAAACTATTCTAGCAATTGACAGATGACAAACGCGGCGGCTCTGTGGGCACTGGAAAGGGAGCCCCCGCCCTCCTCTTCTCCCATTTTCAGCCCCCATCCCCATTTAAAAGGATGAGTCTGGTTCTTTTTGCTTTGTCAGATGTTCGCCAAAGTAGCTCTTCCTGCTGGAAGTTTTCAAGGCGGTCGAGAGTGGCGACTTTATACCTGGTGCAGGTCTTCGAAAAGATGGTTCTTGTGCGGATTTTTATTTTATTTTTAAGTAACTACCTGCATGCAAAAGGCGGTGTCAGAATAGGATGGTAGGAAACTCCTTGAAGGAAGAGAGGGGGGTGCCATTTTTCGAAATTGGGGTTTCCTAGAAGATGGTTGCGAATTCTGCTCGTTAGCTCGCTGAATGTTGGCGAGATTAATTTCCTTGTGAAATAATTAGTTTCTTGTATTGAGGGGGCTCTTTCCCCCTTAATCGGAAGTCAGCTGTCCCCCTCCCCCTTGCACACCTAACCTCTCCCCCCACGCGTTCCTTCAAATACCCAGAGTTTTTGTTTTTTTTAAAGATATATGAAGCAGACCAACTGGCGTTTCCTCTCCGTCGCTTTCTTCCCTGGGAGACATTCTCTGAGTGAATGTTAGTTTCGTTCTGATCTTGCAGGGTCTGCACCTTTTGTCTCTCTCCCTCTCTCCTTCCCTCCCCCCCCCCCCAAAAAAAGTCAGTCTGCTGGGTGAGAATTTAAGCACATGTTAAGTAGGGAAATCACTTCCAAGCAAAGGTGCCAAAGACAGAAAGGTTTAAAATAATGGGAAGACTTTCCGCTTCAAGTTCCCCCCTCCCCTCCCCTCCCCCCTCCACCTTCGATTAGAGATGCAAAATGCTAATAAGTAGGCTTGCTTGGCTCATGAATGTCTTTTTTTTTTTGTCTCGCGATCCAGGCAATGAAACCAGCCCGGAGAGTTTCCTCTTGCACAATGCACTAGCCAGGAAGCCCAAACGGATCCGCACCGCCTTTTCCCCTTCCCAGTTACTGAGACTGGAGCACGCTTTTGAGAAAAATCACTACGTCGTAGGGGCAGAGAGGAAGCAACTGGCGCACAGCCTCAGTCTCACGGAAACTCAGGTGAGGTGCAGGAGGAGCGTCTCTACCCGGCAGGCCGCTCCGGCGCGCGCTCAAAGACAAGGCCTGGGCCTCTGAACAAACCCCCACCGCCCTGGGTTGAGTTTGCAAGGGCTGCGGGGGGCGGGAGAAGCCAGGTTCACGTGTAAGAAGATAGAGGTGTAGGCTAACGTGGGAATTCTAAACTCTGTCCTTGTGTGTTGGCTGCCGCGAATCTTTCTTTCCTCCCCATCACAAAAGCATTCTGGATCTTTTTCCAAAGATTTGTTTTGTTTTGTTTCAGAAAGCTCGTGGAGTATTATTGGTATTGTTACTGTATTAGAAAAATGTATGTTATGTCAATTATTATTACTGTAGATCTAGAGGCTACCTGTTTAAGCCAAAGTAACAGGATATTTCGCCCCAGCGGCATGAACAAGATTTTTATCATCTTCTATCAAGGTAGTTCGGTTTAAATAGCTTCCGGATCATACCGTTGGGATTATCCAGGGTCAAATTTGAAGGTGGAGAAATAAATTGCATTTCTAAATTGAACTCCATTTAATTAAAGAAAATCAGGAGTTTTGAAATATTTAATGTGTGTTTATCGCTGAGAACTATCCAATCGATTTTTGGTTTGGTTTGGTTTTATAGTTTGTGAAACTGCGCAGTGCAAAGGGAACGTTTGCTTTGTTATTCGAGGAGCAGACTTGGTTTGGGAAATGGGTTCTGTTCGTTGTGTCTTTTTTCCTGAATGTAGGATTTAAACGATTTCAAACTATAGACAGAGAGACCTCAAGCGGAAAGTTGGGAGTTCTCCCCCCCCCCTTGTTTACTTCTGAAATTGAAAGTAGGTTCCTCCATACAGTTAACTCCGCTATGGTCGGTCCCTCCATATAGTTTAATCCATTCCCCCATTTACACCAAAGTAACAATAATTAAACCCTTTCTCAGTCCCAACCTGAATACATTTCGCTTCCATTTCGACAGAAGTAGACTCTGAGCGAAAGTGTTTCGAATACTTTCTAGTGACGTTCTATTGACCCAGCCCGACGTTAAATACTACGCATTTCAAATGTGTGATAAATATATATCTACACACACTCACGTGTTCAATTTGATGAAGCGGGCTTGAATCCAGGAGAGCTTATGCCCCAACAACCGTGTTAGCCGCAAGGTTCTTTGCATGTTAACTGGACTCCCAAAAAACCCCCTGCATTTTGCATCAGAACAACAAAACCGCTTTAAAAATCCCGTCTTTAACTGTGCTGCGAACCGGACGGTTTATTTCCCGGGGGCTGGCAATATTGGTCGTTGTCTCCCCCCCCCCTTTTCTTTTTTGAAGCCCTTCCCTGCCAACGGCGTATGTCCCGCTGACCCTCCAGCAAATTGTGCCAGTGAAATAGAATGATAAGGTTTGGGGAGGGGGGGGGAGACCACATCAAAAAGCTGGTGCGGAGGGCGATCCGGCGATGGGAAGAATGGCGTTGTTTGACAGTCGCCCAGATGAAACTTGCGCTCGTTTCTTGGAGAGTGTGCCAGGCAGAAAGATCAATTGTGTGAACCTTGCAGTGTGTGTGCGGGAGATCAGATCAAATTAATCTGTTCGACTGCCCAGCTGCCTTGCTGTATATATGTGCGTACGTTTCAAACCAGATGGTTGGTTTGGCTGCTCGGGTTTTTTGTTTAGGATGCATGCCGTCGTTCTTCTTTTCTGTTTGTTTGTTTGCTTGAGGGGCTCCGTCTCTGGCCCCCCCCTTTCAAATATCTCGATTTTCAGAGGCTTTTGTTACTGCTCTCCTCCCTTAACAGAAGTTCGATGGCCTTTTCCAAACGCTTTTCTCTCTTTCCAAGACGCCGGGGCTATTTCGAAAGGAATGTTCTCTCCGGGGCTCTGCATTTCAAGGAAGCGAAGAGGGGGGAGCAAGGCAGAGAAGAAGGAAAAATAGGCGCAGCTTAGTTCAAAGTTCCCAGTAAACAGTAACGTTCTTTGGTCGGATTAAGTTGTAACACTTTCGGCCCCCCCCCCCCTTCTCTCTCTCTCTCCCCCCCCCCGTCCCCTTTTCCTGCCTTTCTTTGGGGGCGCCTTAAAGAGGGCCGGGCCTTTTGTTTTAAAGATGTCTCCCCTAACAAAACCCCCAGTAAATGGGTCGCCCCTTTGATGAGGTTCGCCGAACAAGGGCCTGGTCACAGCCTGATTTCCACTGGCAAAGGCCGTATTTAAGGTGGTCTTTGTCCCGCTTGATTCCGAAGCTGGTCGGGGTCTATTGTGGCGGTGTCAGGCCTCCAGCCCCCGACAAAACGAGCGCCCCTTTGGAGACCAGGCGTGGAGAAATGAACCGTCGTCCCCTTCAATTAGCAAACTGAAAAGCGAATTAAACTCGCCCTTGTATATCCCCCCGCTCAGCTATTTTAAATGGGAGGCTTTTTTTTTTTAAGAATATGAAAATGCGGCCGAGATGTGGGGAGAGGGAAGGGTGGGGGGCGTCTGGCAGCGAAGGGCTTCTGAAGGGGCAGCGAAGCGGGTTAAAGGAGCTTATTAAAATGGTCCCGTTTTCGGATTTACGTCCTCCCCTCCCTTTACGGGCAGCGTCTTTATCAGGCATTTTCAGGCCGAATCAGAGCAGAAAGTGCTTTAAAAAAAAAAAAAAAAAAAGCCGAACCGTGTTTACCTTTGGCAGCAACGAGGATCGTGTGTGTGTGTGTGTGTGTGTGTGTGTGTCCCTCTCTCTTTGGAGATAATTTCGGGATCAATAAGATCTGCAATTAAATGACTGACAGGGTCAGCTGGTTATGTTTAATTCAGATTTAGGCGAGCCAAAGCAAATTCGTAGGGGGCTTCCCTTCTCCCTTCTTCCCACCCCCTTCCCCGAGATGCTTGAAGGACTTCCCCATATGGCTTGCAACCCGGGCCGCTGTCACCGAAGCATCACCGGGAAATATGTTCTTCTTGCCCCTTTGATGATGAGGCAGGCAGGCTCGGGGTACAAAAGACACGTCGATTTAGAGCAGGCAAAATTCGAACCTCCTACTTAATTAACGCAGCTCTTCAGCTTCCCCCTTTTATTATATTTAATTAAGGTTGAATAGTTCCCCCCTCCTCCACCTTTAAAACCTGAAACCGGGTTCAGCTCCCTAGGAAAATCTATCCATACTGTAGGTTTTAAAGACCAGGCTGAAAGAAGAGTTTTACAGCTATGAGTTTATAAATACGGACGTTAGATTTATATAAAACCGGTTATGAGATAAGTGGTGGTGAAGATTTAAAAAATGCAACCATCTCGGTTTGGTTAATTGCTTGATTTCGAATGGCTGCCGATGCGATTAATATTTGAGGGCGGGGAAGGGGGAAATGCCCTTAGAACTCTCAATGCCCTTCTCAATCCCACCGTTTGTAATGCAAAGTGCAGTTGACACGAGTATCGAGAGAGAGCTGCCTGGAGAGGAAATATGTGAGCTTGAGAGGAGAGACCGGGACACGGCATTCACACACGCACCATTCGTAGGTGCACGGAATACACGTGTGAGAGCAAAGCGAGTCGGAGTACGTGCGGTGTTTCTAAAACACATCTGTAGCAGATAGTATGGGCGAATGGGTTCCCATCTGCACAAGAAGTGTACATTGCAATGCATATATGTATAGGAACATCGTGCAGACCTGACTGCCACAGAGTGGCAGATCACACACATACAGATACGGGAGGGGGGGACGGGACGCCACAAAATATTGTCCTTTCTGCTAGTAGGTCACATGCACAGCGTCTTTCTGAAGCCAGACAGACGGTGTAAATTTGAGGGCTGTATATAGGGACCTGCGTGTATATGGGAATGGGCAAGGACTGCCCAGTGAGGCGATCTCAATTTCTGCTCACAATGGAAGTCAGTCTGGCTGAATCCACGGGGCTCCTTTCCAAGCAAACTTATTTAGGATCGGAATGTAAGGCTATACAGTAAACAAGCGAACTTATTTGGCAGTAAAATCACTTTTTAAGGCTAGCGGACTTGTTTCCGAGTGCGGCCTTTGGGCCTACGGTTCACTGGGGTTATAAGGAAGATCAGACGTGCGCTGCCTATAAGTTGCAGATCCCCCCAGGCATTAGGATGGGCTCTAATGACTACTCTGGAGTAAGTAAGTGGAGGAGCATAGATTCGGTGTTCTCCTGAGTTGAGCGAAAATACATCCACGGCGGAGACGCCGGCAGGATCTTCTGGGGTTCCTGATCGCGTGTAAACCTCTGCACACGAGGGCTGCTTGCACCTGGGGAGGGAAAAGGGAGAGGCTCCTTGTCTGGGCCGTGCCCCGCCTTCGCGTCTCCATAGTTACACTTCCGGCTCTCAGCGCGACGGGGCCACCGCGTGCAAAAAGAGAGGATCGCCGTAGCTGTAGCCTCTGCTTCGGAATAAAGGCTTGCAGCCAGATCTCCACTGTAGTCACTTGTTTACACTGAAATTCAAAATCCAATTCTCCCAGTGCGATCCACAGCGGAGCTGAAGCGAGATGCATCGGCACGATGATCCTAAACGATTTGTTGTTGTTTTCTTCCTGGGACATGAACCCTTATTGATTTCATATGGAATGTAATGCCACAAATGAGTTCAGAATCGGGGTGAAAAGCTGCAGTCCTAAGTTGAAATCAGTGGGGGCGCATTTCCAAGGGCTGCGCTCAAAGTGGGGGATTAGTCTTAAAACCCCAATTACTGCGGCTTAACTGAGTCCTAGGCGAGGCAGGAGGTGAGCTCCCGTGAAGTCAACGAGATTGCCTTTGATCCGGGCATTGTCTGTCTAAGCAACAGGAAGTCCCATTAATTTATATGGCGTTTACTTCCCAGTAAGCATGCAAAGCAGGCGAGAAACGCCACATCTCCTCCAGTCCCGCTATAGCCAGAGGATTCTCCGAATCTGAACAAAGCTGTGTTTAGTCCACGCGATTGCTTAAAAGCAAACTGAGCACAGCCCGGCCCCTTCCAAGCAAACAGCCATAGGATCTCACTGCGTGGCCACATAGCATTTCCAAGGAGAAGGTATCGAAGTCAGGGAGGGGAAATTAGGAAGCTTGGAGTGCCTGACCTAAATACTTTTTTTTAAAAAAAATCGATTTCAAACCCGACCTTGTGCCTAATTACTCAGAAGCTATTAGTTTGTTTTAGCGCTTTGCGTTTTATAATGAAGATTTTTAACTGTTGTAAGCCGCCTTGAATTGGGGAGAAAAAAGACGGGATGCAAATACATTAAATAATTATCACAATAACCCCTACTTGAGTTCACGCGCACAGGGTCGTTGTTGCCGGGTTAGTGGGTGCTGCTAGGGCGAGAATGTCCCACTGCTGCTATGCTGTGTTCATTTTACCCGAGACAGACATGTCTACCTGGTGTAAACCATCAGGAGACCTGTTTCCGAAGCGAGGCTTATTCTCTTTCTGCAGTGGACCCGGTAAAGGGGCAGAAACCGCCCAGTGTGTGTGTGTGTGTGTGTGTGAGTGAGAGACCCTTAGGCCCCGCACATCCGCCGCCAGGGAGCTGACAGCCCTGCCTGTGTTGTTTCCCTTTCTGCAGGTAAAAGTTTGGTTTCAGAACCGAAGGACAAAGTTCAAGCGGCAGAAGTTGGAAGAGGAAGGCTCGGACTCCCAACAAAAGAAAAAGGGGACTCATCATATTAACCGGTGGAGGATCGCCACCAAACAAGCCAGCCCGGAGGAGATCGACGTCACGTCGGACGATTAAATCATCTCCCACTTTAAAAAACACACACAATAATAGTAATAATAAAAAGACGACGACGACGAAGCGGCGGCGGCGGCAAAACTCCCGGCTGGCACTTAACAGACTTTCCCACGAACAACTCAAGTGTTAAAGGCTCGCGACAACCGCAGGAAAGTGAGTGGCGCGGCCAGGGCGAGGGACAGCAAACAGGCTGGATCCCACCAGGCGATTCTCGTTTTTCTGTTTTTCTGTTTTTGTTTGTTTTTGTTTCTGTTTTAGAGAAGGGGCAGTTTGAGAGGGGGCGAGAGCCGGCCGGCCAGTTTAAGCCAGCCCAGAAGTCAGTCCATCAAGGGTGGGGGCCTTGGCTGGTCCTGCATTGGTACAATTTTGTTTTAAGCGCAAAAAAGAGAAGGGAGGGGAATCTGTCAATCAAAGCCAAACCACCAAGACGAGGTGATTGACCAATATTCCGTTTCTCGCCATTCGAACTCAGATCGCTCCAAATTTTTAAAGGGATCGCATACACACGCAACCGTACCGGGACACTTTGCAGTTGACGAGGGATTTTGTTCTTATTAATGATGATTCTGAGTGTCTCCCAGGCTTTTAGGAGAGAGGATCCCATACCCAGCCAAAATCGACACACCTGTTTCAGAGAAACTTGAACTGCATGCTTTCTTTTTAAAAATTTTAAAAACCTCGAGGGAGGGGGAAGAAGAAGGAGGGGGGTAGGGCCTTTTTTTTTTTAATGGTCCCTAAAGTCAGACATGAACTGCGCTTTCCCCCCCCCCTCCTCAGAGACAGGTTCTGTGTGCTTTTTAAATTTATTTTACGAGAAACTGTGCAGTCTGTAAACCTTTTTATGATAACTTCTGGCGTCAACGTGGTTGTGAAAACTCAATGAAGTAGCGGTAACAAATTCTAATTTTTTATTTTATTTTTTTAATTTTGTTTTTGCTTCCCCTCCCCCCAATGGATATAACCTTTGAAGAAGAAAAAAGGGGATGGGTTGTTGAGGGTGGAGGGGTGGGGAAGGGAACTTTTGCTGCAAAACAGACAATAATAAAAAGAGAGATTTAAAGAAACTAGTCCCCACATTCTAAAACTTCGATTCCTCCTTTTAATCCCCCTTCTCCTTGGATGGGGGTTTGTACTCAAACTCCCGCAGGACTTCAGAAGGAGCAAGGGATCTTGCAGATCCCTCTGTAGAAATCATTTCGACCCAGGCCCGTTTTCATTGGGGACAAATTTCAAGCACTGATGTTGATGATCCAAGATTATAGAGCTACTAAAAATGACAAATGTTTCCTTAATGTCTTCTTTACCAGAATGTAAATATTTTTGTGTTTTTTGTGTTTAATTTGTTAGAATTCTAACACACTATATACTTCCAAGAAGTATCTCAATGTCAATATTTTGTCAATAAAGATTTATCAATATGGCCTAACAACTTTAAGCACAGTTTTTCCCTTCGGAAAGGTTAAGTCCCTGCCACTTATCTCTTCTCTGCTGGCCCATAGACCCGATGACCTTGATTTGATGCTAGCAACAGGCAGCCACCCCTCAGGAGACGTTTAAATAACAGGGAAGCCCAATAGAGATCTCCTCATCCTGACCATCAAACGCATTCCTCCCCCAAACCGTTCCCAGAGCAAACGAAGGACTTTTTCTACAGTATGTCAGAACCGGCCCAACTAAATTTCTAAGTGTGCATCTAAAAATGTATTATGGATTTCACGAAAACGTGTGGGTATGAATTCGTGTGCCATGCACGCGCAGGCACCAGAAAGTCAGAATTAACTGCCTGCTCTGACTGTGCCACCTAGGCGGTGGCAAACTCGGGTTTGTTTGTGTGTGTGTGTGTGTGTGTGTGTGAGAGAGAGAGAGAGAGAGAGAGAAAGGGCCCCTTGATTGTACTCCTATCAAATCACAGTAATCGGAAGTAATCTTTCCTGGAAATAAATGGGCTCTCCTTCGTGGGCGCGTTTGCATAGCTGCTGTTTTAGTTCCGGTAGAAATCCAAATACTCTCTAACACTGGCTTGTTGATCGCTCTGCTGGCGAGTCCAGGTACCTATTAGTCAAGGACAGCTTTGTTAAATCGGAGGCTCCACTTGAATCAACGCGAATTTACTTCCGTATATACTTCCGAGTATAGAGCTCATTTGGTCATTTTTCTTTCTTTAAAACCTGGCATCGCGGTTCCGTTCCTTCTTTTTAACCGGGCCTCCAACACACGCAAGTAAACTCCTTTCAATTCCACCCGAACTTCCTGAAGCTTTACACTCACTTAACTTGAGAATGAGTCCCCGGCCTGACTCAGTGGGGCTTACTGTTGAGTAGACGCGGATAGGATTGCGCTGCTTCTGGCATGTTTTTAGGATAAGCGTAGCACGACGCTTTAGAAGCAAGTCTAAAACGAGGCGTTTCACAGCTGTAGCAGGCTGGCAAGTATTCCTTGGGAGCAGGAGAAGCTGGTTGGATTTTTATTTGTTTCCTTGTCGTATTAATGTTTATACTTTCCGAGAGAGAGCGAGGTGGGGACATAGGAAGGGGAAGGGAGGGTTGCCAACTTGAAAAAGAAAAGGGTAAAAAGTTTCCCCTAATCCTTGAGGAAGCTAGCTGGCTTTCTGGGGGTGCCCCAGGTTGTTGGTTTTCCCCCTCCCCCCCAACAAAAAAATTAATTCATGCTTCATTTGCTCCTTAGCCTGATAGGCTGCATTAATCAGTTTTCTTTCCATTGACAGCGCAAACCTCGTCTGCAGTGTTCCAGCTACAAAGACTTTTTTGTCGAAGTGCAAATCAGTTTAGGCAATTATCATACCAGGAATATGAAGGGGAAAGAGGAGCCATTGCCCAGTGGTCTCCTTTAATCTCTTAATCCGTGGATCCAGGGGGGCTAGTTGGACATAATTTAGGACAATCTGACTACCCTTTACACTGTGATAAGGCGAAGTTACAATGCGTCGCGAAAATACCAGCTTTGTTCAGCATCCTGCCTTGAAAGTTCAGATTAGGCATTCTGCGCACGTGCTTGTCCAGTATATGGCGCTATGGAAATTCGGTTTAAAAGGTCCGGGTCGGGTTCTTTTCTTTTTTAGGCCTTTAAAAAACAATGATGGTGATTAATCATAATAATTATAATGACCGTTCTTTGTTTCTCCTTTCGATCCTAATGGGTGACTTTCCACCCAGAGAGCAGTGAGAAAGAGAAGGTGCCCTGGGAGAAATTCCCTCTTCTGTCCCTTCAACCCCGCCGTTTCCCACTCCACATCTAGGAGCCAAACTCCTAAGGTAGACTTCTCTTTTCTTTCTCCTCCTCCTCCTTCATCTCTTTCTTTCCCCTCCCCCAGCCTTTCTCCTCCTCCTCCTCCTCCTCCTCCTCTTTCTGTCTCTCCCTTTTAAAACGCCTCTTCCAATAAAATCGGGCCCCGGGAGTTTGATTTCTTTAGCACCTTAAAAAAAAATTCCCTGCTATATAATAAACAATTGTTTCATTTCATTTCATTTCATTTTTTTTTTAAAACCTCTCCACACATTACCCATCTTCCTAGGCTTTAGTCCTCGAAATGGTTTCCTATCTTGATTTTTGTTTTAATTTTTTTTTGGAACAGCTTATTTTTTCCCCTCTGCGAGATTCAGGAGCTTCTCGCTTCGGATAAATAAATAAATAAATAAATTTCCCCTCTTTCTTCCCTTAAACCGCAAAAAAAAGGGGGAGAGAGAGGAGATTGAAGGAAAGGGGAGAAGAAGAAGAAAAAATATATATTAAGCGTCCTATGTAGCGTAACAGCAATAAAATCTTCAGAGAATGCTATTAGCTTTGGGGGGGGGAGGGAAACCCCTAAAAGCTTTATTACAAACCAAGCTTTGAAAATAGGGGGGATTAGGAGTCTGAAAGAGTCCCACAATGGCTAGAAGAAAAGGTTTCATGCTAATGAGGTTAATGCCCTTTGTATCTGAGGACTCCACAACTTCATTACTCGCTATCTCAGGCTCCACCGAGCGGCTCAGAACACTGCAGCCCACTCCAGCTTCCCCCTTCCCTGCCTAAAGAAGGATTTGATAGCAGCTCTGTTCAAACTAGATAATTATATCTTTTCAAGTCGGAATTAAGATAAAGAAAGTGAAGCAAAAGGCGGCTCGCCTTGATCCACTGCAAACAATTTGGGCGCACTTTTCTCTCTCCCTCTCCCTCCCTCTCCCTCTCTCTCTCCACCCCCCCTCCGCCCCCGTTTCCATAAGAAGCAGGACGCTCGGAATTATTAAGTCCTCATTTGCTTTATTAATTCATCTCTTTTAAAGTGCGCCCGGATTACGCAGGCCGCGCTGCGGCTGCTGCTCCCGGCGCTGGCGTCCGAAGGCGGGGAGGGGACCAACCTTGCGCCCCCCTCCGCAAAAAAAGATGCGACCCGATGGGCCGGACCCGGGGGGGGGGGCGCGCAAAGCGAGGTCGGGGACGTGACAGTGGCGGAGGTGGAAAGCGGGAAGCGGAGGCGGAGGCTAGGGGAGGCGGTGCGGGGAGGAGGAGGAGGAGGACCGCGAGGGGGCTGACCGGGTGCTTTCCCAAAGTAGGTGCTGGAACGGCTTCGGTCGCCTTCACTCATGGTGTCTAGAAAATGCTTTTCTCCCTGGCTCTGCCGTCTCTCGCCCTCTCTCTTTTAGCCCGCTCCAATACTTGGCTGACTAATAAATCCTTTCAATAAGACTTACTCCCAAGGAAGCGCACCTGGCTTTTGTTCCTCTCCGTGACGCACACAGACCTACAAAGGGCGATCCAATGCCCAGTCCAGTTCCAGACGGTTTATACACCCCTTGCGCCAAATGGGGCTTCATTTCCACTAAGCTCACCTCATAGGAGCCAACTCCTAGGGGCCGTGGGGGATTCAGCCCCCACAAGGAAATATTTGTGGTGGCTGGGCCCCTACAAAGTTGATGGGCATTCCCATTCAAATAGTGTTTGTGCACTGCGTCATGTGATCGATTATGCATGGCCTGGTTTACCTGCCTCCCCCCCCAATTATTTTATTCCAGCTGACACTTCTGGCTCACCTTGTTTTTTCGCCTCTCTCCCATTCCATCCCTCCTCTATTTCCTTACGTCTCCTTTCTCGTCCCACTGATCTTCCTTTTTAAAAAAAAAAAAAAAAAAAAGTTGAAATGTGTGCGCATGCGTGGTTCTGAATGGGGTGGTGGTGCGTGCTTGTGATACTGTGAGGCTAATTCTCGTCTTACTTCGGATCACCAAGCCACGGTCCCGAATGTGTGTTCTTAAAAACCTGTGTCTTGCGCCGCCGCCGGGTCCGCGCGCCCCCTTTTCAGTCTGCAGGGCAGGTTCAGAGCAGGGCGCCCCGGTCGCAGCTGGAGGCCTTGGTTGCATTTGGGGGCGCGCCTTTGATCTGGTTCGGTTTCGTTCTGGGGCGCAAACGTGCACCAGTCAACTTCCGACCCAGAAGAGGTTGCTCCTGGGACGTCAGACCTAGACTCGGAGGTGGGGCGAGGTTCACCCAGAATTCCACCCCGCCGCCTCCACACGCGCTTCTTAGGAAGTCTGGAGTGCTTTAAACAGGCTTCGGGAGAGGTCAGCCAGGAAGCAAACCTCAGTCTCGGAAGACATGTCTAACTGGGGTGAAAAGGAGCCTGAGCAGGTTGTCACTCCAGTTAGACTTGTCTTTTGAGACTGAAGTTCTCCCCAAGTTCTGGCCTAGTTTTCCCAGAGGTGGTAAGCCTGTGTACCTTGCGACTAAATGCTTTTCCAGATAAAGCTAACGCTCCCTGCACGTAGACAACTAGCATGTCAATGAGAAAGCTAGATCAGAACCCTCCGCTTCCCGGCTTGCTTCCCCTAGTCTTCGCGTTAATTCCAGTGGACTGACTTCTAGCAGGGCAAGCGAATACATATTTCTGCAGAAGTCACTCCCAATTTGCAGGGCTTTTTATTATGCATGTTTAGGATTGCGGCTTGATATTAAGTATGTTTAGGATTGCAGCCTAATGGACGGGCGCATGGAGAGAATTATGGAGCGTTTCCCACTTCGATTATTTTCCAACTCGGGTTGGAAGGCTATTGCGAGGCCCCAGTGGCGGGTTTTCTGCAGGGGTCTGTGCGCATGCGCAGATATACACCAACTCCTGCACTGACCATCTCGGATACTGCCTTGATATTTTTCGATCGTCTGGGTACGGAGGCCACTCCCATCAGTAGCTTTTGCCGTTCTCGCTCTGATCCTAAACCCAGTGGCGCAAACCTTTGCTTACCTGGGAGTAAGTCTCGTGGATCTGAGGAAGTATAGAATCGTAGAGTTAGAAGCGGGAATCTTTTCGTCCAACATGGGACTCGAATTCACGAACCCTGAGATTAAAAGTTCCCTGCTCTGACCGCGTCCCCTTGCTTGAGCTTGGAGACGGTCCTGCGATATTGAGGCTGGAGATGGCAACTCTACAACCAAGGCAGAGCCCGGTTTTGTGGCAAAGAATGTGAATGCTTGTGATTATAATAAAAGTAAACTCCAGAAATGAGCGGCAGAGGTTAGGATCGCGATCCCAGACTGATTCCGTTTCATTTGGGTATGCCTTGCTGTGAGGTGAGCACGCCAGAGTGGGATCCGACCGGAAAACCGTATGTGCTTGGAAGTTCAGCTGCCTGCAGACCGACGCATACGCGGGTCTCTGGGACGAAGCCTCACCCAATTCAAAGAGACTTATTCCCTAGTACACATGCCTAGGCTCAGGCGACTGGGGTAGCTCTGTCGGTAGAGCAGGAGACTCTCTCAGGACCGTGAGTTATGTTATGGATGCTTTAGCTGAGATTCCTGCATTGCAGGAGGGTGGACTAGAAGAGCCTTGGATCCCTTCCAAAACCACAATTCTATGATGCTGTGATGACCCTGGAGTCCCTTCCAACAATTCTATGCCTGCACCTAATGGGTACACTCCCAGGAACACGTGTTAAGGTGCCGCCGGTATGGAAACACCTTTGTTCCCTAGTCTTTTGTGGTTTGGGCTCTGGAGAGCCCCTGATGATTTAAGCTTTACTCTGTCGGCCCCAGATTCGTTTGTGTGTGTGTGGGGGGGGGACTCCGGATTCTAAAGTGGGGCTTCCTTTCATTTCAGTTCCCCTTCCGCCTGCTTTCTCGGAAGTAAACGAGATGTCCCGTAGCGTGTGCAGAGAGGCTGGGCCGACATCTCCCGAGCGCTCAGTTTCTCTGAGCGCGCTGGCCGGTCACCTCTGGATAATGAATGATCTTCGCCCCCAGCCCCAAAGGCGAACCGCTTAGGCGTGAGGTTAGGAAATGAGACGGGAAGCTCGGCTCGCCTCTTCCCGCGCCCATCCCATTGATCCAGCCCCGCCGCTCTCCCCTCTTTCCCCTCCAGTGTTTCATAACTACTTAGAGCTCATCATATATCAATTGATTTACTTCTCCAAATAGCCCCCGCTGCGCCGTGGAAGTCGGAGTTTAGAGGACCTGGTGACCCCGAGCAATAACCTCGCTCCTTGCCGGAGCTTGTCCTGCTAGGACGCTCTCAGCCATTAAAGCGCAGCGCGGAGGGAAGAGAAGCAGCACTTGAAAGCGAAAGGTCTGATTAATCGGAGGCAATGGGCTTTTAATTGGCCTTTTGTGATTAGCGCTTGAGCCAGGGAAGCGAGATGTCAAACAGCACAGAGCGGATCCCAGGACCCCCTCCAGCTTTGGCCAATATACTAATTCTCCCTTTTAGATTGGCTGGGACTCCAGAGCTTCTGAAACTCGCTGTTAAGTCTCTCACCGCCACCTGAGGAATGACAGCAAAGTTCTTGAACATCCCTGGCGTTTACCTTCAGGTAAACGTGTAAAGGATCTGGGATGTCAATCATTTGCTTATGCCCAATATCTTTGGCGTAAGTGGCTTGAGGAGTGAAGTTTGACACCCTTCAGTCTGAAACAGGAAATTGAACAACGTGCAGCCCTCTTCTATGTACCTTTTACTCAGAGGTAAGTCTCCCTATGATGGGCTTTCCAAGTGGGCCATCTCTCCAAGCTCACTTTCCACGGAATGAAGTTCCACTTACACCAGTGGGGGCCTGCTTCCAAGTAAAAGCTGTTCAAGGAAGCGATAAATGTTCCTAGAAGCTCGATCTGCAAATCACTTAAGCCGATTTCATAAACTGATTGTCACAGCGTGCGCTAATCAAAGGCGCTTGCTTCCTCCTGAGACTTAAACCGGATTCGTACCGTGTTCGCTGGTACGAATGTGGGCTTACAAGGACATAAGTGGGTTAGAAGGATCGGGCAAGCCCCCTTGAAATTAATGGGAGGAAAAGCTGTCGGACTTACTTTGATTTCTGTTGAATAAATCTACCTAGGATCGGAGCATACTTGACAACAAGTTTCCCTGAAAACGACGGGGGCGGGGGGAGGTTCCCATGTGCTTCGAATCCAAGAATGCACGGAAGTCTTCTGGGAAAGGAATAGGAGCGAAATCAAGGAGCGATGCGTGTAAATAGGTGGGTTTAGGGTCGCCATAGGCCCAGGACGCAACTCTTGGCTTACCTGGGTGCTGTCTGGTACCCTGGAAAATTCTAACCTGAAGTGCAGAGGGGAGAGTGTCAAAGAGGCGGCTGTCATTTGACGCCTCACCTGAATTTAATACGCCGGCAGGTGCCTGGCTGACCCGTGAGCTCACAAAAGCCTTTTCTTTTCCAAATCAACACGGCTCGGACGAGTCTCTGGTCTGGGAGACGCTCTCGCCCCATCAGCACCTGACGCGCATCTGAACATTGTTTGGGGAGAAATCCACGGACTTCTGCCGCCTTTTTTGGGCATCGTCTGTTTGCGGAACAGCAGCCTTATTTGAGTGCTGGGACTTGGGCTGTTCTTTAAAGTGCTTTAAAGGCATATTTTTAAAGGAAGGGTTAAAACAGGGTGGGGAAACCGGGCAGGTCCTCATCTTGATATTGTAACTGCAGGATTTTCTCTTCTAACCCGCAAGCAGGCGACCCCCTGAAACCAACGAAACTTCTCCATTAAAAGTTTAGGAATCTCCACTCATCCAGCTGTTTCTCAGTCACAGCAGCCAATCTTTCCATATATAGATAGATAATTTCTTCATTGACACCTTCCCCTTCTTTGGCTGTATGGTTACAATTAATTTTCATTCACTCACTCACTCTGGCCAGTCACTTTCCCTCTGTTCTCATCCCACTCATGCACGCTCCAGCTCGATCAGAGACAGGGTTTCCCAGGCGTCGATTCCTCCTCCATCTTTGCCCCCCCCCATCCCTAGCGGTTGAAGGAGAATCCGCCACCTAACCAACTCCCCCATCACTTGGGCTGCTCCCTTTCGCCTCTTCCCCTCCGCAACCTTTCTCTCGCGCCGGTGTTGATCAACATTCCGAGTGCAGAGGGGTCTTATCCTTGATGTCCACTGCAACGTATTTGTTGGAGCAGTTTCAGTCGCTGTCAGGATCCCCCGAAGGGCCTTTTTTTTTTTTTTTGAGGGGGTGACCCGCCCCAGCCCCAGGCCTTCCAGCCTTGCCTTCCCTTCCCTGTCTGCGGAAAACCAGCTAATATTTATAGCTCAGCTCTCCATTGCACTTGGCTGGACCTGACGTCAGGAAAAAGGAAACAAACTCTCTCTCTCTCTCTCTCTCTCTCTCTCTCACTCACACACACACACACACACTTGATCCGGCCTGCTTCTGAAACTGATCTTGAAATGAGAGAACAGACTCTACACAATTCCCATGGCCTTGACATAAGGTACAGCGATAAATATACACCACTAATGAGCAATTACCATATAATCACCTTCCAATTAGTTCGCATAATGATGAATTAAACATTCTAGCCGGCTGGATTAGGTTTCTTACTTTGTATATTATTTACGAAGGCTAGCTTCTGCCTAGCACCAAATATCAAATGAGATAGGGAATTTTCTGTTGGGGTTATTAGACATTCATATCATGTCCTCCTTTGGGGCTTTAAAGAGGGGGAAAAAGTTATTCGCTGGTTTGTTACCACTAGCCTAGCAGGAAATTCTACCGGAAAGGTACCGGCCACCCCGTCGCTCTGCTTCTCCCATCTCTAATTTAGGAGAGAAAGTGAGAGTCTTCCTGACGGTCAGGCATAACCGTCCAGGAGCTTCTCATTTATGTTACTTGGCTCTGAGAAAGAGAATTTTGCACGTGGTCGGTGCGCTTTAAGGCTCAAACATCTTCCAGGTTTCTCAGTCCTGCCCGCCCGTCCCACCCTGAACTGTTATTTATTTCCTTGCAAAAAGCCTTAATCAACATCAAAGGCTGGAGGTACCAGGCGCCCCCTCCCCGTCGGAATGTTGTGCGTATGTTTCTTTTCTTCTCCTTTCCACCAGGACAATGAAAGATCAGCGAAGCTTCTTTGAAATGGGGAGGCGGACTAAAAGGAGCCTCTCAACGTCCGCCGGCCGCTGAGGGGCGCCTTAAGGGCCATCCTACGGCCCAAAAGAGCGAGGGGGGGGGGAGCCTGGGGGTGTGGGACATTGAGCAACTGCCGATCCACTAGCTTGCAAAGTTTGGGGGGAAAGTGGGGATTCCAGACTGGTTCTTTTCTCTCTTTGGGTCGTTTGTGAATGCCTTTCTTTTTCCGAGGTCTGCTTTCATCGTCGTCGATGCAGCGGAGCGAAGGAGAAAGGTTTTGGAAATTCAACTTGAAGTCGTGGTGGGAGAGAAGGGAAAGTGGCCACGTCTTGGCTGTTTTTAGTTCTGCGGAACTTGCCTACCCCACATTTTTTAAGCCAGCAACATTCAATTCAGATCAATCGTTCATTGACACGGGGATCTGGGAACGCAAAAGAGCCGTTCTAGGTTTTTTGGGGGGACTGACCCATAGCAAATGCTTTGAGAGGCTGACCCAAGCTGCCACTTATGGGGCGTGTGAGCAGGCTGCCTCTGCTCATTCCCGGTGGACCCAATGGGCTCGATCCAGCCACAATGAAACAGGTCGGGATCCATTCGATTATACCCGGAGAGAATAGTGGCGCAATCCTATAATGCTTCGTGAGAAGTTAAGCCGCTCTGAGTTCAGTGGGGTTTATTCCCAGGTAAGTGAGCGGAGGATTGCAGCCTAAACTTGCCTTTCATTCCCCACCCCCCACCCCATGGCATTTCACTTAGGCTGCATCGTATCCCATGAAATTTTCTATCCGCAAAATATTTTGTTGCAGGGTTCCTGGGCCAGGACCCATGTAAATAAGGCGGGAGAAGAGAAATGTTTCGCTCCTAACTCTTGAATTTCTTGCCGTTTGTTGGTTTTCATTGATGACCTTTAATGTGCTTTAAATTAGTCATTGGCCTGTAAAGGAAGCCCGTGTCACTCGCCCCACCCCTGAACCAAAGGTTTTCAATTCCTGGTTATCAAATGAGCGCAGGCACAGACCTGGCGCTCGAAAACCTCATTCAGTCGCGATTCTCACATCCTTTCGACGCGTTTCTCCACGTGGATCTCAAACTTCCTAGCAAATCGGTGTATGCTCCTCAAACCACATGGCGGGGGAGGGGAGGGGTTTTTCTAACATACCAGAACCTTGAATGCATTTACTCTGGAGTAGTTGCCCTTAGGGTCAAGCCTTGTTTACTATAAGGAAAATGTGCAAAGGATGACAACAAGTTTAAAAGAAGGCTGATTTGAAGGCGACGAGGTTGCATTGAAGAAACTTATTCTTGAAAAGATTTCCATGCCGAGAGATCGTAATCTGCTCTGATCTTAATTATGGAAGAAATATTCAGGAGCAATTCGCACTAAAAGACAGGAAGAAGTTGCGCTGGAAAGTTCTGCCAAGCATACGGGGTGGGAAACAAGAGACCAGAATAAGGTCCCATATAACGGAGATAATTGCATAGGAGCAAGGAAAGACGTTGAAAGGAAAACGGGGGGAAATCTTAACATTTTTTTCTCCAACACGGTCTCCTCCCCTCCCACTTTTGTACTTTTGCTCTAAATAGTCTACCTCCCCCTAGTTCACGTGAATGCTGGGGAATGTAGAGATGAAAGACTTTTTTTTTATTTGGGGCCTTTTAAAAAGAAGATGGTAGAGGAGAGGAAAGACCCCCTCCCCCAAGCATTAGTAAAGTAATACCTTTATTATTTATTATTAGGCCTTGCAAAATAGCAAGCAAGCTTTCCGGCTCTTCACTGTTGTTCAGTATGGATAATAAGAAAAAAAAGAGGGGGGTTTGGCGGAGGGGACAAAAGAGAAAATCCTAGATATGACTACAGTTGAGGGGGAGCTGCAGGAGATCAGACATAGTAACTGGTCCAAGTCCGGCAGCCTCCTCAAATACTGCAGCGGCAAGTTCGGTGGGTTTTAAGGGGCTTACACCCAAGTAAGCAGGCCTGATACTATAGAAGTGCCGCCCACCTCCCTTAGATTCCTGTGTGTGGCCGTGGGAACGACTTTTCCGCGCGCGTAAATGTGCTCTGGAGACGAAGCCCTAAGCGCACTTTATCGGAAGAAAACCCCGTGGAAATGAACTAAAGACGCAGAGCCGGATCCTATGCACGCTTCCACGGAAGTAGGTTCCGCTTCACTCAACACGACTTCCTCACGAGTGAGTCCTGGTGGCGGGTAGTCGGGTTTTCAGACTCGCTTTCAGGTAAAGATCCGGTTGCGCACCTGGCTTGAGCGCAGGAGGAGGTGGGTTTGGAGAGGTGAAGCCGTGTCCCGGAAGGGGAGAGCTGTCCGTGGGCCCGTTGCCTGCGCTTGCTTGGCTCCCTAAGAGAAGGCGGCAGGGCATTTCCAGACGGTCTTGGGAATCTGGATCTCATTCATCTAGCTCGCTCATTATTTGAGCAAACTTTTCAGGGGTGGGGGCTCTGTTTAGAAAGCAAAACCACAGGGCTTGACTTTCTTCCTCGAGAATGAGGGGAAAGAGGGAAAGGAGAGCGTTCTGCTTATTATTCTAACATTTGATCGCAGTAGGTACTAGAGCCAGAGAAGACACAGCAGTCTCGAGGACTCCAAAGAGAGAGAGATTCCCAGATAAAACTCCCCGGCGAGTTCCATTCATAATCTCGCTAATCGCTGTTATTTTACTTGGCAGGTTGGTGTTCCTTACTCTTGCGGGCGAAATTCAACCCAAACCGTAAACCTCTCTCAGAAAGGTTGTTTTGGTCGTATCCAGTGGGAGGGAAAAACAAAACTACCGTTGGATTTTTTTTTTTAAAAAAACCATTTAAGTTTTGGGATCCTGCTTTCTCTGCCCCCTCTTGCAGCCCAATCTTATGCACGTTTACGTGGAAGTAAGTCCCACTGCGTTTAGTGTGTTGTGCTTTTTCCTAAATTAAGTGCGCGCAGAAGAATGGTGTGTTGTGGTGGGGAGGAGGGAGAAGAAGTTAGATTTGTGCCTCTATTATTTTTTAAAAAACCTGAACTCTCCACCCCTTCCTCGCCCGCCAAGAGCCACAATATTTACCCTTGCTGATGAACGTCAAGAGGCCCCAAACCAGCTGCTGGTTCCAAACGTCTGGAAGAAACACTCTGTTATGGTATGGGAAAAACAGAATCCGAAGATGTACTGCAGAGAATAAAGTGCTGGAGGTCTTAAGGTCGGTGGGGTTCGAGTGAAGTGGGAGTCCACAACCAAATGTAT